GAGACTATGAATATTTCAAGGAATTACTTATCTAACACCTTTTATATGAGATAAGTAAAAATCATAACCTGAGAGTGACCAACTTACGAATTTTGGTTGATTTGGCCTCTACACATTAATTTGGAGGTATATTAAATGCGTAAACCAAAATATACTTATTAGTTATTGATAAACTAGTTTGACCAGCTAATTATAAGTTTCGTCAGTCATGAAAGACAAAGATTTTCGTTTTACAATAGAAAGTTTTTTTTTTTACCTCCCAATTAATGTTTCATGGGTGGGATGGGTATTCATTTTTAGAATAGTTACGAAATCTCCATGAATAAAATCAAACATTGTTTCATGATATTTACATGAGATATGACTCTATGAGGTTCCACTTTATGTGAGGTTCCTTCCATCTTAACTAGAAGTTTTGGTTTGCTCACTTTTTTATAATGTGCCTTATAATATCGAATTTGAATTAGTATGATTCTAAAGCAGGTATCAAATCTGCGTGAAAAAATATTATTTTAAAATAAAAAATAATATAATTTTGCAACTTAAACTATACTTTAGTTTTTAATTATTTTTTTGTCATTTAGGTCAGAAGAAATCTAAACCCTTTTTGTTTAGCATCCCCTCCCCCTCTTTTCTCATTAGCTTCAAAGAGGCTTGACGCAGCTACTAGGGTTTTGGGGAATTAAAGACAAGAAAAATACATAAAAGTGATGTTATTCAAACAAGTTGTTTGTAATAAATTTTAAAGTGATGGAAATTGATTATAATAACAGATAAAAAATGATGAAGCAAAATTTTTATTATTGATGAATATTTGTGAGTAGAAGTGTATAATTTTGTTTATCTCTGATTTTTTCTCTTTTAAATATTCCCAATGATTCGAGGATCATGTATTTCTCCCCGAAATATTTTCTTTGATTTGAGAGTCATTAGTAGCAATTTCTTGAATGTGAGATAATATGAACCTCATTGTGGTATATATCAATCGCCAAGAACATTGGACAACACGTGTTTTGAGAAAGACAATATTTGATATCTTAATCTCTCTATGACTTTTCAAAGAAATATATCTCATTTTATAAACAACGTTAGTTAGAGTTTAGATAAAGTAGCCTCCAAAAATTCTAATCCGCCTTAGAATTTGAAGACAAATTAGACTTGTTTCATTGAATCCTGTTTTAAATCTGATAAAATTTTGATGTCTACTACACGAGATACTCATGAAGGAGAAAAGATAATTGATTTTTTTTTTTCAATCATCAAAAACGAGGGTTTTGAGGGAATTAAAGACATGAAAGTGATCTTATTCATGATACAAGAGGTCACAATTCATATGAGGAGCAAAACATAATTAATTTTCTTTTCCTTCATAAAAAATAATCTCTTTTTTTACATATATAAATATGTTGTCTAAATGAAGAAATATTTATTATTTTACAGCTATGTGAAAACACAAGTCTCTCTCAGCATCTTAAATAGTGCTCAACTGCCCTACTTTCAATTACTTTCATATCTACCCCACACTTTTTTTTGTTGTTGTTGTGTGTATATATTTAAGGCCTTTTTTTTCGTTTTCGAGAAGAAGAAGAAAAAAATGATGAAGATTAATTAGTTTCATGGAGGTTTGACAAAGGGTTTCTTACAGAGTTCATTGGCATTCTGTCCACCTCCCTCGTTCTTTTTTCGAAAAAAGGAGGAGGAAAGCAAGATTAGTGTGGAGGTGGGCATACTGCCAATAGAGCTGTGTTGGTTTCTCTTTGTAAAACCCTCATGATGCATCAAGCAATATAGAGAGAATTAATCGCTCTCTAGCTTTTGATATGATGGTAAGTGTTCAATTGTAATAATAAGTAGTATCAGAGTCAAGGTCATGGATCTGAAGATGAAATTTATTATTATCTTCTTATTAGATTCATGACTTTCTCTTTGTTTTTTTCTTGAAGTAAACCATCTTTACAAGGTATAGGGTAAGATTTGTTTACATTTTATATCAAATTTTATCGGTATAATTTCACTGAGTATATTGTTATTGTACTATTAAATTCATATTTTCTTTCTTTAATTCAGTAATTTTTTGTTCATTTAATCCAATTTACACATATTTTCCCTTGAAGCTAGAAAACAAGTTCACTAATGTGTGTTTGTTTGGAGCAATGACCACATAATTGTTGTTGTACGATTTATAGGTCATAGATTCGAGTTATTGATACTTGCATATATATATTTACATCACACCACCTTAATGTGCATTAATCCTTAAACCTTCATAAATTCGAGATGGTTTATGCACTGAGTTGTCCAAAAACAACCGTCCTTCACGATGTCTCGCTAAAAAATCTAAAAACCCTACTTTTTGGTATATCTGTTACCTCCTTTACATACTCATATATATATGAGTAAATCTGATGTTTTTGCTTCTTATGAGGCAAAGTTCGGATTGATTTATCAAAAGGTCACTCAACTAATAGTTATTTCTGTTAAAAAAAATATTTTTCTTCTTGTTCTTCTTTTCAATTTTGGTTTTTTTATGTTTGTGTTTATTTTCTTATGGCATTTCATACAAAATGATTTATCAAGTTTTATATCAATGGTGTATTTTAACATGTTATAATATAATAGATACTCTAATATATGTTTTATTTTTTCAAATTACTAATTCTTCTTCTCATGAAATGTTATATCTAGTTTTTAAATTACTATATATATGGTATACTATAAGCTTAAACTTGAGGTATATAACATAATATTTGACATTGACCCAAGTAAAATAAGGCATCATATGACCTGCTCCTATTTGCTATAATTTGCTCTGTACTCTTTAAAAATATCAACGGGTGTATGTTGAATCCTCCAAAATAGTGTATTTTTAAAGGATTTAATACGAATTTGACAATATTTTTAAAATGTCCAAACAACTTAATTATAATCTATGTGAATAGAAATATATAATATATAGTTACATAAATATTTTAAATATATTTTATTTCATAATTTTAAAAATAATAATTTTGTGCTCAATCAAATACCGACTAGTGACAATGTAGTAGAGCACCATTTTTGGAAGGTGCAACAGACTTTTGAGCACACATGGTGCAGGTGAGTGATTTCACATTTTACATTATACTATGAAGATTATTTTAGTGTGCAAGGAAAAATAAAATAAAATAAAATAAAAAAGAGTAGGCTCATGATTGATATCTGACATTTCCATTAAAGTATATTGGCTATGGTTCTTAGTCTACTTTCTAATTAAAGCAGACCAAATTAAATGCTTTACATATTAGTTGTAGTAGTCATACTATGTGATGAGTATAATTAAGTCCCTACCTACCCAAATTATTTTATATTTCGTTTTAATTTGTTTGTTTTAGTTTAATTTGATGCGAAATTTTAAAAAATAAAGAATTTTTTTGAATTTTTGAGGATGGGTTGGTATATCTCCCTTTGAGTACGTTGGTATATCTCCCTTTGAGTACCTATCTTGTTGATTTTTGGTTTGGTAGCAACTATTTCTAGTATATAGAGCTAGTTTGGTTGATAAAATTGGAGAATTTATCACCTTATTAGATTTAGATGCAAGTAATTTTATGTTTGGTTGCTTGAATAAGGAGATTAAATTTTGGTATAACTTTTATATCGTTTGGTTAGAATTTATATCTTATAAATAGAAGTATGTTCATAGTTTAAATAAGATTCAGACGAGGCTGAGTTAGTTAGGTTTTTGAAAGTTTGGCTCTTGGCTTCCCTTCCCCTTTTCAGCTTTTTCATTTGTTGGGTGACTTCTTGTTCTCATGTTCGAGTGTTTGGTGATCGTTTAAGCCCACCATAACACAAACCATTTTGTGTGTGGATTCTGGACCATAATTATTTTTTTTGTTTATAGAGTTTTAAATAAGTTATTTGTATATATTAGTTGAATTTATAATATCATCACAGAGTTTAAACTAAGGTTATTGAATTTTACTGTATTTATAATTACTATTATGGCTTCGGCCTGCTTATAATAAAGTAATAATCACATGATTTGATGTATTATCTTATGTGGGATAATATGAAATAAGAATACGTGTATTAACTCTGAGATTGAATTATCAGAGACGAAAATGCTCTTAAAGTAATTAGTGTTGTATTACAATAATCCCTTCATCATTAATCACCACTTAACAATTCTTTCATCATTCATTACTATATATCCTTATATTGTACTAAATCACTGCATAAATAATCACTTATTATTAATTACCACATAACAATTCTTACATTATTAAAGTTACAAGTTCATATATACAATTAAGAAAAAATTACACAAATTTATACTTTGCATCAAAAGTATTAGGTTCATATGAATTTGATAATCTAGAGCTATATATGCCCCCAAGGGAGCTTCTACCAACATCATCAACCTATTCCGAGTAATCCCACAAGTGAAATGTGGATATGATAAGACACTTCCGATAGAAACTATGTAATTATTAAGTACTACTAGTCTACTACTAATATGGGGCTAGTCTCTTGCCTCTCTCACCTAACGGGAGACTACACTGGGCTACCTACTAACCTGTGGCGGATCTAAGATTTTAAGGTTGTGGGTGCTCTGAAAGTGGTAGAAGGAAGAATATAAAAAGACATGTTAACAATGAGATTCAAACTCAAGTTCAACAACACTAAAAGAGTCTTAACTACCCACCCAAGAGTCAATGGACCAATCAGATCATTTGTTCATGGTGCTCTATGCTAATTTTATACAAATACCTCTTAATTTTTACATAAATATATATATTTCGAGACGAGGTTAATGGGTGCTCGAGCACCTGGCGAACTCTATGTAGGTCTGTCCCTGTTAGAGTCCATCCCTGCTACTAACATTCGACCCTAATCTTCAACCATCACATTCAGCAAATGATATTGAAGGCCAAAAATCAATCAGAAAGAAGAACATTACACTGTCATAATAGATAGTGACAAATAGGTATAGTAAAAATTTAAACTTTAGCAAAAGGAATGGTAGTTTAGATTACTGCATAATGAAGCTTTCTCCATAGGAATGTACCATGAGAACTCAGAAATGAAACTTAATATGATCCAGAGTCTATAAATAGCTTAAAATACGAATTAAAATTATTATACAACGCATTATTTCCTTCATGAGCGCGCCACAATCACTCACAGAGATGAACTTAAACGATCAAGATCCACAAATCCAAAAAGCACTGCCCGGTTACGTTCCTTAACCTTCACTTGATAGATAACTCTGCACATTGCAACTGGCCTTTTTAGTCTGTTAAACACCAATAGATAGAACGAATCATATAGTAAACGACGTACTAATTTCACATACCTCAATCCTTCCAACCACATTTCGGTGATTAAAGTTTCTCCTGGATAGACATGTAGTAGAAATCTGCCAGATACACTCTTTATCGTGTTCTGATCACCACCGCAAATACATTTAATGATAGTCCTAACTGCAAATCCAAGTGTGCACAACCCATGCAGTATTGGACGAGAAAATCTAGGCAAATATATCGAAAGAAATAAGATTGCAGAGACTAATATTGGTACATGCAAGAAAACAGATGAAAGAAAAGATAGTAACATGATATTGATCCACTAGAACTAGAAATATAATAAGGGTGACAAATTCAACTTCAGCATTGCAGAAGAAAAAATAAATCCATCAGCTGATGTACTTGCGAAAAAGAGAGCTAATTGACACTTCAAAAAGAACATAAATCTTTAAATAAAAGAAACACTTTTATGGATCAGGGTATGTCCTTAGAGTTACAAATATTCCAACCAAGGGCGTTGTCGAGCTCCACTTGTTAAAACCATGAATATTATGAGATGGACAGTAATATGGTTGTTGAAATTACCAAGCCGTGTATAGTTAGGTCTAAGCACCATATCCAAGTTTAGATTTCAAATATTTGAAGTTTTTAGTTTTTCCACTTACATTCCAACATGCATTTCCACCAAAGGACTCATCTTTCAGGGGTATGCCCCAGAAGAAAACTGAAGTCTAAAGATGGTTAGGAGCTAAGTTGGTCGGACTCTCCAAAAATGATGCCGCACCAATGTTGGATCCTCCAAAAATAGTGTATTTTTGAAGGATCCGACACAGGTGCGGCATCATTTTTGGAGAGTCCGACCAACTTAGGTTGGGAGTGCGTTCTTTTTACTTACTACAGTTGTTGGAAGAAATTATTTTGGGGCAGGGGAGTTAGGCCTAAGACACTGGGGAACAACACTATCACAAAATATTGCACTGGGAAACTCTTTAAATCTTTTCCCTTTTATTTTCTGTTCACCTAGTCCACAGGCTAGGCTCACTGCATCAGCATTTAATATGGGCAAAGCTGAAGGGACAAAAAGATTACCTCTCTTAACAACTTAATAGCTGTAAACCTTAATCATACTTCCAGTTAAGAAAACTTGTTTAAGTTTGGTGATATTTCGTTCTAGAAGTCGGGAAAAATAGCAAAACTTGCAAGTTCCCACATGATATGCTTCACACTCAAGGAAGCAGCATCTCTAGTTCGACAAATGAATTTTCTTTATATTTAGTGCAAACAACGGGTGGTCCATGTCTAATATCACACAACTTTAATAAGCATCAATAACTAGCAAACATTGCTACTAACTACTAAGTATCTCAAGGATGAAAGAACATGAAAGTTAATGGCAAAGATCAGAATGTGTTGTTCATAAATTATAATAATAGTTGTATATAGAGTTCAATAGAGTTGCTCATAGTAGATTACCCTGCACTTTCTGCAAACTTTGGATCTGAATGCAATGGATTGTAATCACCAGATAGCCTATACAGCAAAGCCTGCATCACCGCAATAGAGAAGTCAAAAAAAATCAATGAAAACAAGTACAACTAAAGAATTTTCGAACCCTCAAAGACAATGTAATTATCAGAACTAATTAACATGCCTTTGACAGGTATAGTCCTACACATCTCAAGTAAATATAAGCATAGCATTCAAGGTACCGATACTGACATTTACATTTGTGTAATAATTAACCATAGAAGACAATAGGCAACTCATGTGACCTACCTGTGATGCATGCGTACATTCTTCATATACAGCAAAGGGTTGGCTTTTGGGAATTTTAGGAAAGGCAGACTGATTACTACGATTGCTGGAGTACGAGTAAGGCTGAGATGACTTTGAGAACCCACCAGCACCCCTCAAGTAGATAGACAAGCTGCAAGTAGTATTGTGGTGTTTACTGTTAACTTTAACATAATAGCTCTAGGCATATCAGTTAAACTAAAACTCACCGGTTCATGCATAGCCGTTCACCAGATTCTTTCTCGTAACTCACAATTTCTACTTCAAGAACGGCTGCTTTACCTGTTGCAAATCAACAATTTGAAACTCACATATCTCGTCTTTTCATTGCTATATCTCACAGAAGCAATGAAAGAATATCATTTTGATTTCTGTCAATCTATTTCCAAAATGCCTTAGCTAGAAAAAAGGTAAAGTTTCAAAATTATATACACTTTATAGACCATTTACCTCAAACTTAAATGCCTCTCATACAACAGTCTATATTTTTCTTCAATTCTCCAAATTTAATATTACATGAACTTATTTAAGTTCCTGCATAGTTATTTATGTTTACTAATTATAATCATACCTTTATCATGCAATCCAGCAATACTCGTTTTATTTAGTATCTGCCACAACAAGAAGATCAAGGAAATAACTCATCTGGACTAATAAAAGAAAGGGGGGAATGATAAAGATAATTAAGGTTAATAATAAAGACCAAGATGTATTCTTTCAACACAAAACTATAATGATAATTTAAACAGAGTCATGTTTCAAGTGCTGCCAAGAGAAGGCTCCACTGCCCTCAACTATGTTTCATTGTGTCCAGGTACTAGGATTTGTTGAAATAACAGTGAAAACACATAAGCTTTGGTGCGGATATACATATACAAGAAGTTAACCAAATGTCACTATCCAAAAGTTGGATGAAAGCCAAGGATATAAGATATGTATAAGCTTAATACATGTAAATATATGAGCTTTGGGAATGAAAGCTGAGGTTTGTAGATAGAATGGTGCTATTATATGGATAGAACATCTGTGCAAGAAAGTTATAACTAATTGCGCGGGGAAAAATCTTTTCACAAGAAAACATCTGTGAAAGAAAAATTGCTTCAAATAGTTATCGAAGAAAAATCACTCCCATACTACTGTCGATCTTCAATCTTCGTGGAATACCTTTTGCATGTAAATTTAAGAGAGAAATCATGGTGTTGCTAGATAATTTAAGGCATTTAGCCAGACACTTACGCAGCCATGGGAAGGAAGTGGCTTATAGACTTCAATGTATTGTTGGCCGTGCAGTAGAAGACGTGGATCAAATCTAGCAAAACGAAAGCAGAAACAATGTTCTTTAGCTAATATTAAGCAGATTACATCTCTATTCTAATCAGAAGAACACACAACTTTTCTTTCTTTATCATTTCATTAAATACATGGAGAAACAGAAGCAATAATAATGCATCTTTAAAGAAAATTAGATACCATACAAAAGGATCCTGCCCCCAACCAAAACTAAAATAGGATGTGTTCTACTTACAGCAAGCCTGGAAGCTGCTCCATTTGAGAAGGAATTCCAACAGTGAACAAAGTCGAAAAAGTTGGCAAGACCTACAAAGATAAAAGGCCACAAGCAAAAAAAATGCAAATCAATTACAGAAACGAATTACATTTCATCTCTTAAACCTTTGCAGTCCTGGATAGTATAACTTAGTCATTAACTATTACGCCAATAAAGTGCATACACTCCCTTCTTTTATGTGCAAGTACAGCAAAGCCGTTAAGGATGAACAATTACTCAAAGTATGACCTTTCGATATTTACTAGACATAGTAAATCATTAGCAACAAGTACGTCCCAGTAAAATGTACCTAAACCTTTCCGAAGATAAAAAAATTCACCTACCCATCACTAGTCTATAGTTCGACGTAAACCATGTCCAACTACACAAAAATTCATCAGTTCCTACCATAAAAAATACCTGAATAAATTCCTGCCCATCTTGATGATAAACATATTTAAGTTCTTTATCATCAATAGCATCCTTTGTACATGCTCCTACACCAAGAGCATAAATAGCAGCATCCCTAATATCATAAAACAACAACATCACAAAACCAAATAAAAATCCAAAATTTAACTACACAACCTGCATTCAAGCACACCCATTTACTCGAATCAATAAAATTAAACACGAAAAGTGCAAATTACATAGGCGGATTCAGAATTTAAACTCGATAAATGCATCATACAGTTTATCCCGATTAATGATAATCTTTAGCTAATCCCAAAAGTTAATCATTTAATGAAAAAGTAAACTGAAGAAATTAAAATTAACGTAACAGTACCTTTCAGTGTAAGTATGTAAGCTCTGCAAATACCAAATAAACCAAGATTAGTAACGAGATTAAGCGAAATTAATCAAAAAAATTGAGAACCCAGAAAGGAAAAAGGATCAAAAACCTCAGGAAATTTGTGGGAAATGACTAATTCAGGATCAATTCCAGAATTTCCAGAGCCTGCCATTGAATCTTTTGAGGGAAAAAAAATCCCCAATTTCGAACAAGACGAACTTTTTTTAGTTGCTTTTTTTTAGCAGAACAAAAAATTGGTCATGGATTTGGAACGACGATCGAGGTTGATAGATAATGCTTACAGCTTTCTCAGATTTCTAGCAGATAGCGACATTAACTTGTCCAAGTAAAATCAAGATTTGACTTTTAGCTAAATCAGATTACTGCTTGTTTAATTTTATATAAATTTAAGAATTGTTTGATAAGAGTTATAAAGAATAATTAGTTTGGGGATGAGATAAAACATGAGATATATTATGTTGAAATTAGTTATCTCAGATTATAGTTTTATTTTTATCTCATACTAAAGTGAAATAATAATCTTGTAATAACTAATTCGGAGATAATTTGTCTCAACTAAATAAGAAGTATTGGGCATATATGTCAACTGAAATCAAGTTAAATAACACGTTTAGATAGTGATTATCTTATTTATGTGGTGGATCCCTGTAAACACACATAATTTTTTTTTTTATCAAAGAGTGTCTAATAACAATATATTATTGTGGGTTCAAGTGCTTAATTAAAATATGTTCATGATTTACGTATATAAAAAAAAAAAAAAATTAGCAAATTTACATCGGTGTCAGGTATCTATGAAACATAGTGAGGACGAGTTGTAGTGTTTAGTCATCAGTTGAGGTGTCTAAATGTACAGCTTCAAAGTTGAAGTGCTTGCTTGCCGACCGAAATCAAATTTGAATGTTTGCTTTTAAGTATTATTCCTTACAAGCACTAGGGCTTCTAAGATACTAATAGCAACATTATTTCAAAGCTAATGAAGGAGATCCACAACTTGAACAAGTGTATAGTAGTTTAGAGTAGAAGCAGTTTTAAAGTTGGAATTTAGTAGAACAACGGGGTAGAGGAATTGGTTGACTCATTAGCCCCATGACCTAAAAGTTGCAGGTTCAAATCTTGTTCCCGCCTAATCAGTTATCGGATCAGAAGGAAATTTGCGAGATGAGTCAAGTATATGGCTATTTAGTGATATACAAACATTTTTATTTCATGCATTTTATATATTTGTCTCCATTCAATCAAAGACATTCATGCCATAGAAAATCAGGCTCAGCAAAAACGAAACTATAGACTATTATGCTCCACGCTATTTGTATCTCTTAGTTTAGGAAGTAGAAACTAATTTGTGAACCCCTCTCTGTATCTCTCCTAGTATGTTTTATTTCCAACGATATGTTAGCATAACTTCTAGTCGTAAAAATAAAGGAGGTAAACGTAAAATAGCATGAATTTCAGCTCATAGTTATGATCATTGATATGAAAACGAACAATTCAATTATTGTTTTTTAAGACAATTAAAACAATGAAGATGGAACTCGATACAACGAAACGAAGAAAGAAAGAATAGGACCTTGAGTTAAGGTCATTCAAACTAGTTTGTGGTAAACTAAACAGGACAAGTAATAAGCTTTTACTTCAATCCTAATAATCTTTGTTCTCTGAGGTTGTTTTGTGTATGTAAGTCAATTTCTTCTCTTAATTTTCACTTTGGCCTATGATTTTCATGAGTGTTGCAGCTTGTCTTAGAGTGGTCTTTTAGGTCGACCAGCCACATCGCCACATAAAAGAGCATTAATTGGAATGGGATATTCATCGCGCAAAGAAGTTGATGTTGTGTATACCCTCATGTATAACTGTTGTCCTAGATACTGTCGCGCCCAAAACTCTGATCTTAGGTTCCACATTCCCACATTGTCTAATGCAATGTATATTGCTGTCCATGACTTGGGATACACCTGCATTTTGCAACAATTTCTCGTTCTCATTATATCAGGGCAGAGTAACATATCAGTTCTGTTTTATCTTCTTCTTTTTTTCAATCTTACCTGAGTTGTGATTCTTGAAACTGCATCGCGAAGATTGTATTGGTCCCTACTAGCTGGACTCCATTTTCCTCCGTCCATGCTGCATTAACAATATCGATAGAACCTAATTAAGAATGAATCCATACAACTGCATAACATAAGAAACGAGTCGTGTATTTTTTTCTTCGTATACTTACCCTACTACCCAAAAGGCATAGCCGTTAAGATGCCAACTCTGAACGATCCCTTCCTTGTTCTCGAATACAATTTCAATGAATGTCCTGTAATCAGTTTGCAAAACAGATGTGTCGAGGTAAATTCCTTTACCGGTGGGGGCATCAGGTATGTTTCCGGGGGTAAATCCACCAATGTTGAAGTAGTCAGCAAGCTTGAGGGGAGTACCACTTTTAGTTGGCACAAAGGACACACTGTTGACAGCATATCTTTGCTTGCCATTGACTTGTCCAGCAGAATTCGCGAGCCTGATAGTTCTAGTTGTGTTGATCATACCATAATGGTATGATCCTTGTGGGTTTGGCCTTGGTCCACTCGCGGTCAAGTTGGTCCTAAAACAAGTACCAAAGTTAAGAAAGCACACAACATGATTGACATTCTCAAAAAATGATGACTCTCAAGTCTCACCTAATAGAACGGGCCTGGGTGAGAGACCAACCAATTTCGATGGTTGGACCACCAGGGGGCGGGCCAGTGAATTCCTGGTTAGAGTTGCTGTAGTGAAGTACACCGGTGGTAGTAAGGAGAATAGACGAGAAACGATTTGAAACAACAATGTAGTAGTCCTTAGGAGTTTGATCAGCTGTGATGAGGACAGAGTAGGATTGTCCAACATGAACGTCGAGTGAGGAATATGTCTCTTGCATTGTATGTGTTCCTTCTACCTCCACCAATTTCATTTTATGTCCTTCGATACGAAAGTTGAGTGAATGTTCCAATCCAACATTTGATATTCTCAGTCTATAAGTTTTCCCTGTATATATACAGAGTTATAATACTCATTGTTAGATCACAACATTTGATATTCTTCATATAAATAAGAAAAATCGCAATTGTTTTTACCTTGATCAACTGTAAAGGCAGCGCGATTAGGGCCTTGAGGACCATGACCATTGATATGAAGAGCATCAACAAAAGGCAACTTGTGGTTTCTATCAAGTATTGATTTCAAGTACTGCATAAAAAATGGAAGTATACATATCAAATATCTCTTCTTGTAACCGTGGTGTAAGGGTGAGCTTAGAAACCTCGACACCTCTCACCAACGCAGGTATTAGGTAAGTCTGTCCACCAAGACTTTGACACGATACAATACATTATATAGGACCTATGATTACTATCCATTACTTGACCTTTTAACACTAAACTTTTACGAGGGGATTCAACAGTTTATATATATAACGAGAACGAGTCTAGTAATCATACCGTGTGATTGCTCTTGTACCAATCACCAATAAGGACGGTGAAATCGCCAGCAGGTTCATCGAAAGGAACAGGAATCCCAGGCCTGCTGAGGATCCTGAACCCTCCAAAACCACCAGAAGCTTTGTGGAATGCAGTTGAAGGGAAATAGTAAAAGCTGCCAATTTGATCCTTTACTTGCAAAATGTATGTGAAATTCTTCCCTGGTGGAATTGGACATGTTGTTCCCCATACTCCATCTTCAAATGAGTTTCTCCTATTTTGTATTCCATTCCTATATATAATTTCGAAACGTATTAAGTAACAGTTTGTGTTAGACTAATTAATCTCACAATTATAAATATTGTCACGACAGAATAGATGGAGACTTAATAATATATGATGTTTTTGCATTCTTGCTTGACGAACTAACTTCAGGCCTCGATTCATTCTCCACAAGGAAGGAATGAGTCGCTTTGTGATTTGTGCTCATGAACCAAGGTTTCTTAAAGTATTTCTTGGGAGAAGCTACTTTTTTTTAGCTTTTAGAAAAATAGTTTCTGCTACTATACAAAAACACTTATTTTTTTCGAAAAAGTTTGGACAAAGACTTCAATATTCTCAAATAATATTATAAACATTGTTAGTGCTATTATTTAAATTCAAAACTAAAAATATTGGTGTAGTGAAAATGTGGACATATTTTGCTTTTACTTATGTTATTCACATGCACTTCACATGATTACCTACTCTTTGTCTAGTTTTTCAAAAATTTAAACACTCGTACAACATGTGACTTGCACAAACTACAAATAATTCAAAATATTGTTCAACTTTTCCTACATTGGATCAATACAATATTCTTTGAATCTTGATTACATCGATATCGATGCTAGTAATTCGAAAATAATTTGATGGATGGCTCAAAACTAGTGAAAAATGAACTAGATAAGTAAACTTAAACACGTAATGAAATCAATGAATGTAAGACATATATTTAAATGTTCATTATAATTAGCAAGGGAGTTTGTTAGACAAACATTATCAAATAACATCTTTAAACGAGATATGAAGAGGAAGCTTCGAGAAAACTAGTATTCAACATAGTATCAATTCCAACATATTTATGTTGGTCGTGACATATCAATGTCTCAGCCTCGCGAAGCCAAACCAAAACATGAACAACAACAATTCATGTTCATGTTTTCGCGAGGCATCATGACATTAATGATGTCAGGAACAAACGATGAACAAATAAAGGAGGAAAATTACCAGGAAATAAGAAAATCCTCATCCAAATTGTTGAAGACATTGATAATAACATTGTCATTTGTGACAGAATGAATATCAGGACCAGGAAATTGCCCATTAATCAGAATTCCCTACACACACAAAAAAAAATAATCTCAAAATAACTAAAATGACAATTTTTTTCATATATTACTGAAAATAACATATTTTTTTTATTAAAGAAACCGACCTTCTGAGGAAGACCTAGAGGCCAAATCGTTCCATAAGTAACATTCCATTCGAAAAATCTATAAGGACTCTCTGCTATTGTGTTCACAACAAGTAGCGTCACCAAAAACACCGCTAACTCTCCTTTTAGCGGCATTTTTTTCTTTGTATGTTAATACTATAAAAAAAGTTTTTAGAGTTTGAACTGCGAAAATGATATTAGAAGTTGTTAAAGATTAGGAGGGAATTAAAGTGGACATGAAGATGAAGACATATGTGTATATTTATAAGTGGTGTACAAATAGTTAAAAGTTAAGTGGGTAACTAGTGAGCAAGTGGACTATAAATTATTTATAGATATTAAAAAAAATGTAAAAAAATTAAAGGAGGGAAATATTTTTGAGAGAGGGATTGAATTTTAAAATGGAGAAATAGAAGGGGCAAAAAGAATAAAGAAAAAGGATTGGATTGTCGGTGAGGAGTACATAGTGGATCTAGAAAGAAAAAAAAAGATTATTCAAATGTGGTACTAACAGAGACGGAGCTAGTAGCCTGCATGCTGTTTCGATAGAGTACAAAATTTTTGTTTAATGAATGTATTTGTGTTAATAAATATATTAAATATGTATAAATATTAAACTTAAAATCTAGTTATTATCACAAAATATTGATATTATAAACTCAAAACTTATAAAATTGAAATTTTAACTTCGACACCTGAGTGTTCATACCAAACAAAATTCACTTTTAACTTCGGAGGAAAAAACATCAAAAATATATTAGTTTGATTAATTCAAATTTAGTATTTTTTATCTTTATCAATATCAAAGAAAAAGAAAGTATAACAACTTAATTTGTTACTATTAACATTTAACTAAATAAAGTTAGTTATATATTTCACAATTCATACATAGTTTCAACTTAATTATTAATAAAACGTCTAAATCTTGACTTTGTTCATCACTAAAAAGAGTAGCAAAATTGTTCACTCAATCATGTGGCCCTAATCACATGCCTGCTGTTTTCTTCTGCTTGGTTTTAATCTTTGGCGCACTAGCTTACACACGAGCGGTAAACGCAGTGGCGGAGTTAGAAATTTTACGAAGAATATCACTATGATACTAATATTGCAAATTAATTACCTCTATTTTTCGATTTATGTGATGGTTAATATTAAATTATTGGAACAAACTGAAAAAAGTATGTCACATGAAATAGAATATAACATGTCACTACTATAAAATGAGGAATCAACAATAGACAAAATTTCATAGCTAAACGACAGAAACATCATGCTAATATCATTTAGCTATGTATTACAAGAAAATTTGATTATCTACTCATTTTAAACTAGGAAGTGTCAACAAAATTCTAAGCTAATTCTATGTTTTCTAAATATCTTTTTTCCTTGATTGGTGATAAATTAATAATCATAAAGTTCAAAAGCTTTAGAATTTGAGTCAACAATTAATTATACATCAAACTCCAAGCCAACCTGTATGAGGAGGGAATGACCAAATTGGATTTTAAAATTTTAAATTCTTGAAAAGTCTTCCAACTGTGATCTGATCTGCATTCCCATTGTGATTTGTGTTACTATTAAATGAAGTTACACATAATTAATTATCATTTAAGTAACGTAGTTTACGTAATTATTATTTTTTACAATGTCAAACTTAAACTCATTTCTTATTCTTAATATATGGGTCGTAATAGTTGTGCACTTGTGCTAATGGTTATTAATTTCTTATGTGACACACTTTTCTTTTTAATCTGTTTAGAAAAAATTGACATTCTTTTATTCAACAAATATGTAATGACAACATCAATATTTTACTCATGTTTTGGGTTACACTTATTTGGTAAAAGATCTACAAATTAAAGTGTAGTACTGATCTTTTATTTAAATATTCATTTATTGTAAGGATAGTTTTGAAATATTTTTTTTAAAATAATAATTATTAAATTTACGTCACATAAATTGAAACGGAGTGGGTAATATATTAGTACACTAAAGTGTAAGAGCCTGAAAGAGGAATTTGATAGTAATTCCATTCACGTGATGGATGTATATATCTAAAAATCACATGAAAATGGATTTATCTTTCTATATTTATTCAGCCAAAATGCAGATCTCTATGCATATCTTAAATAAATATATTTTAAAAAATCAACTCGGAAATGCATATCTTACTGCACAAATATTTTGCTTAAACAAAGTCTTAGTAAAATAACAAGACAATTGGATTAACCAGGGTCGTGAGAGAGTGATAAATATTTCTTTACCCTTAATTAGAGGTCGTGAGTCTGCGTCTCTCTGAATACATAATCGTCTTTGTTAAGGAGCAATTAATAAATTCAATTGAGTATGTATCTGAATTTCTAACTCTGCGCTTGAGTTCAAGTTTTACTAATTATAGGAAGGGAATTAAGCTTAGGGTGGTGGTGTTATTTTTTTATCACATAAAAAAAGAAGAAAAAAAATCATTTGCTTTATGATATACACTAACCAATACTAATTATAGGAAGGGAATTAAGCTTAGGGTGGTGGTGTTATTTTTTTATCACATAAAAAAAGAAGAAAAAAAATCATTTGCTTTATGATATACACTAACCAACAAAATCATCTAAAGAGATGTGAAGATCATAATCCACATCATTTGTCACTAATTTTAGCATACATAGTGGGAAATTAGTTAATAATTTTGAATTTAAATTAAAGGCGGTACTTTGTTTTTTCTCTTTAATTTCTTTAATAATTAATTTTCTTTTAGTGGTAGGGAAGAGTATTCATCCCTTTTCTTCTTTATTTTTTCTAATAATATAATTTGTATATATTTATTAAACTTATAAGACAAACACAAAATTTTAACCAATTTTTTTTTTTCGATCGAATCAATGTTAAATTACACTCTAATCGCCCATGATTTAAATAACCAAAGGCATTCAAGAAAAGAGGGTGTCTAAGTTTCTTTATTTGATGAATAGAATACGTGATATATTTGTAAATTACTTTCTTTCTGTTTAAATGTACGTAACTGATTATAAAAAATCATTTCTCCGATCGTTCCGATTTGATAATAACGTCCTAGGTAAGGAAGCATCTAACATGGATCTCAAGACTACGTAGTGCATTGTCCCCAAATTACAAATTGCAAATTACATGTGAAATAAATTGTATAGACTATCATATATTAATTTATTATTGTGCCATCTGGATACTTAGACTTTGCTACAATTACATCGATGATCCAGAAAATAACTTCAACAACACTGCAAATAATTCCAAAAATAAGTTTTAAAATTGTACTATATATTATTGTGTTTACGCGCTTCAAGCTAGGATTGAAACATTGAACACTTTGCAAGTAGGACATAGGGGGTTTGAGATACACGTATACTCATTAACTTTGAAAAAAATCGATGTATAATATATGTCCCTCAAATATATATATTTGTTGGATTGGGTCATTTGGTAATTGTGTCCTTTAGGCCCTTGAGCGCTTACTCACGATTCTTAGGTGACAAGTTTTGAACAAGCAACCTAAAATAAGGGTGACATGATAAATCAAAATTCAATTCGCTCAAATTCAGTGCAACTCGCTCATTTGACATCTTTAGAGTATGCAAAGTGGTGCTCATTTGGTAGTGCACCCGTTTTTTTCGAAAATATTTTCACTGATTAATACAATTTAAAATATGAAGATGTAAATATACGAAGAAATCAAGGAAATTCAATAACTAAAAAATATTTTTAATTTTTATATTCAATGTAACTTCGATAATTTTTTTTTAATAAACCCCGTTGCACCCACTTGGCTTCGCATTATGGCCACAACTATCAAGTCTTTGATTGAATGTTGAAAGTATTACAACATCAACATGGCGCAATCAGTGGCAATTTAATGTATCACGCGTATAAAAATGAACTGGAAAGTGATATATACTATGTTTTTCTTATCTACAAATCATTATTTTTGTACTTACACCATTCCAAAATAACAACCATTTTTTAAAAAAGAAAATTATACTATATAGTTTCAACACCTGATTTTCAGCATGAATTCAAATGTTAAAATTTACATTCTTAGAATTGACTTTTTTCTCTTTAACTACTTCAAAGCCAAGATCTAAATCGTTTGACACTTGACCACAAATAAATTCTGCAAGGAGTAATGGACAAGTGGCACAAAGTTCGAAACTTGATTAGACCCCCCACCCCCATATTTTATTTTATTTCCCAATTAAATATCAAATTTTTATCAGCAGCTATTGAATTCGTTTAAATATTCGGTTTTTATCTATGACTAGATTCAAACTTGTGACATGTCCAAAACTCACGGTCTTATTATTAGACCAAAGCTCTAAAGGGTCATTTAATTGAATGTTAGAGTTATTGTAGATTAGTTATGCATAACGTTTAATTATTCAGTTATTTTATCATTTATCATATCTAAAATAATATTATATAGATTCTTTCATAATTATACATGTACTTTTAGTTTTGCGGGATTTAAGTTGATAATCAAATATCGTACTTGGTGAACTGAATTTTACACATAACAACTAAAATGCTACCACATTATGTTAATTTTAATATATGAGTGATTCACTTCCTAACCAGCAACCAAAAGAAGTGCTACATATATGTCCAAATCTTGTGATTGGGAATTTATGGTCAATTCTTCTTTAGTATTGATAAGATATATAGAACGTGCATCTAGACAGGAAGTCAAACAAAGTTCGAGTTCAAATTAGTTATAATTAATACAGCTGTAATAAGTTCATATAGTTAAAAATAAAAAAAAAACCTTAAAAAGGATTGTACAATAGTAATAATTTCTTGGTAAAAAGCAAAAGCTAAGGGAGTAAAAGAAACTTGTAACATATCAGAAATTTAAATTTGAATTTCACTAAGTTTTTCTATTTAGAGGTTGAAATATGATATGTTGTATTATTATTTTATATCTCTAAGTCTTGATAGACGTCAGAGTTAATCAGTACTTATGTTGATGAGAGATAGTAAATATCTGATTGACTAGTAGAAATGTAATGATATCGAACTTCAATTGAATTTTTAGACAAAAACTATCTTGAAACTCACGTTCTGTATCTGTGATACATAAAACATTCCATCTGGTAAAAAACTATATTGCTAGGATTCTCCAAACATCGCACCTATATTGAATCCTAAAAAAATACATTATTTTTTAAGGATCTGACACACATATGTCAAAGTTACTGTCTAGCCATTGAGAATGTCAAAGCCCGTCACTTTTCAAAACAAACTTAAGCCCATCTATGATTCAAACCAACATATGGGCATCCATTGATAGATCCGGGTCTCAATTGCATAAAAAAAGGAAGACAATTTGTTTTGTTAGATTTCCATTCTAAATTTTGAAATTGTTTGGAGGAGATTTGAGTTAGTTTGAATTGAAAAAAAAAACTTGTGAGAAAGATGAATTGTTGCTATGGATAAATATTGTATAACAGTGTATATAGATGTGTATATATCTTTGATACATAATTATTCATTATGTATACAGTTATACAATATTGATACATTATATATATGTGCGGTCATTTAATTGGATTCCTCTTGTTATTCACTTATTTTTAGTATTCTACTTTGGGATAAGGCATTAGTATACATTATACAATATTGATACATTATATATATGTGCGGTCATTTAATTGGATTCCTCTTGTTATTCACTTATTTTTAGTATTCTACTTTGGGATAAGGCATTAGTACCCCCTAGACTATGACCGAAATCTCAGAGACACGCCTTAACTAAACTAAGGTCCTATTATCCACTGAACTTATTTTTTTTTAATAATTTTGTACACCTTTTTGGCCTACGTGGTGTAACAAACTCAATTTTCAACACAAACACTGATATATATATTGTTATTACGGAATACAAGTTACGACGTATAATACCCACAACAAAGTAACAACATACTAATTATAGATAGATAACATAGAAGAGGGTAACTAGAAGGGGATGGGATTCTAGACCATAGAAAGGAGATGAGAGGATCAGAAAGCCAAAGCTTCACATAATTTGCATAAAACGTTCTTTCCCATCCGTCGTCCTTTTAATTAGTTGTTAATTGGGCCTGGGTCCAAAATCAATCCTTGTGAAGGCCTTCTAATTTTGCTGCTTCTTTTCGGCCCAATAACTAGTTGTGTGGCATCCGTATAGGTATCGATATTAAGCCGAAGTTGGTTCATAACACGTGGCCTCCAAACATCTCCCACGCGCCTCACTTAAGTGGATTCACGGAGTGTGCCACGTAAGCCAAAAGGTGTACAAAATTAAATGAGTTTAGGGGGGTAATAGGACCTTAGATTAGTTAAGGTGTGTCTCTGGGATTTCGGTCATAGTCTAGGGGGTACTTGTGCCTTATCCCATTCTACTTTTTTATTATTTAGCTCAAGGGTCGGCCCAAGCCACATTGCTCCAGACCTACGGGCCAACGGACTTACTCGGGCCTAATTAAACTTTCTATATATATATATAGTCATGTTTTTATTTGCATAAAACATAGCCAAAAGTAATAGAAACTAAACACTGCATATACATTATGATATACTCAAATTTTTTTTTGAATATAACTTAGTAATACATGAAGTATATATTGATTATTCAATCTCCACCAACTCAAAATGTCCTCTAAATAGTCTCAACTATTAGATATGAAATCCTCTAGTTGTTTTAATTCTTTTGATCATAAATAAGTTGCTTGAAACGATCCACATTTGTTGTCCGCCAATTTTTTGTTAAAAATAGATTAAACAACGAAGATGAAGAAGGAGAAGGAAAAGGAGGAGGATGGATCAAACATGTTGACGGTAGTGCTACAATAAAAGAAAAAGTTGGGATCAACATGTCAATGGTAAATTACCTTTCCTAATCCTTCACTCCAAATCAGCTCACTCTCTCTCCTAATCCTTTCCTCCCACGTATTTTTACAACCATGGCCGATAAAATTAAATAGCCCAAACGAGTCCAGTGGCGGAGGCAGCATGTAATGATCCGACCCCCCTCGGCGAAAAATATTACTATTTATCTATGGTTAAAATTATTTTTTAGATATGTATAATAGATGTCGAACCCCCTTCCACTAGTTCGTGTGTTTACTTTTCAGATTTTGAACCCCCTTGTTAAATTTTCTGGCTCCGCCACTGCAAACAACAAGGTCCACCAAAGTTACAGTTCGTCAATGTCACGGCCAGCAATACGCCTCTTCGCTGATTTGGTGGAGTAAAATTTAGTCTCTGATCGGAGAGGACAGAGACGAAGAGGGGAGGAGGAGAGAAGGTGAATTCATATATTTGATAAAGTGTATATGCATTTGGTTAAGATTATATGTATCTATGAGAAAAGATTTTTGATGCTCGAAAAAAAAGAAAAAAAATTGAATTTTCTTAAACTTTTATTATTGTATCTAGGGTAAGTCTTCATATAGCTTCAATTATGTATCTGAGTTATATCCCTCAAGTTTCAATATATCTGAACATGTTAATGTATCTTTCTTTTTTTCCACTGTATCTATAGTAAGTCTTCATGTATCCGTCAAATATCTACATGTAGATAATAATTTTTGGTCTGATTTTTGAGTTATGTCCATTAAGAACAGGGTATCTGATCGTATACATGTATTTGCCATTAGATACTATATACATGATTGTTTGTATCTAGACATGTATATGAATGAATTTTAGCTTATTAATGATACATATCTTTATAACTTTTTGATATATTTTACATTGATTGATTTGTTGTTGTGTTGAAAATGGCTTCAACGATATCGCTCTAAGTAGCAGTATACTTGAGAATGATTCCATCAATTTTATATCCATCATAAATATCATCAGAAATTAACGTTCCGAAGTATATCAACAAAATAGTGATATTGTCCATTGGGGAATGAACAGAACTCAAAATTATTGAAGAAGAATTAAGTAGAAAAAGAAGTTAAAAGTTTGTTGAATCTCTCCAAAAAAAATGGAAGAATTTTGATTGTTTTGATAGTTTTACAAATTGTGATGTGCCTAAATATTGCAAAAATGTTGTAAACATGATTTCCTTTTTAACATATGACTTTCATTTACATGTATATGGAAGTGACAAATACCTACATTCGAGGTGGAAAATTGGTACAATCCATAATTATGTAAATTATAAAGGGAGAAAATAATTAACGAAAATATTCTTTTGGTCAGAAAATTTGGTCAAAATGGTATTTTTCCTATGTTATTTTACCCCTTTTGAACATTTTTACCCTTTTAACTTTAATACTTTTTAACTAAAAAATGGAAAAAAGATCAATTTTTTTTAAAATAAAAAAATTATTATAGATTTTTTAATTTTCTGGCCAAATTCTGGCCATTTAGCATTATCCATAATTAACTATCAAATTAGTGAAATTTGTGTTGTTTATTCAATAATAAGTGACTTATTTTTTAAATTAACTTTTTTTTATAAGAAATTTAGCCCAATAAACATTTTATCTAATTTCCCCTTAAACTTCTTAAATGTGCTCCAATTTTTTTTTAGCCTAATTTTATTAAATCATGGGTTAGATCAGGTCACCAAACAAGCTTAGTTTATATTGACGGTTCTAACCCTCATTCGGATGATTCTAACCGTACCAAACTAGCCTAACAAAGATGGACAAATAACAAATTTATATAATTTTTTAATAGAGGACATATTTTTAAAAAATTGTTCTTTCTACTCACCTACCCCAAAAATTCAATCTGCTGAATGGAGAAGTTTCTTCAATATATATTTATGCTAATTCACACTCTTTTGGAACAATAAATATCTTTGAGGTCAGTCTTTTGTGTTCTCTTACAAAATTTTTGTTTAATTTTTCTTCAATTTCTGGGAAATATCTAATTTATATGATTTTACAGAAAGGCATGATTAAGTTATAATGGGGAAAACTTAAAATTTTCCCCCAATTTTCAAGCTTTTAAATATACATACAACAAGGAATGTAGTGGAGTGTCCTTTTGTCTCAATTTATGCGACACATAACACCTTTCGAATTTCGAGATTCAAACCAGTATCTTTGACCATAATTTTTTTTAATAAATTTTTTAAATAATTTGAATTGTCAATTATTATGACTTATAGTAATTTTTAAGTAGTTTACAAATATATAAATGTCATTTTAAGTAAATTCTGGATCAAACTTAGATTGTTTGACTCTTGGAAAACGAAATGTGTACATAAATTGTGACAGAGGGTTCGAGTCCCCCAAGTACAAAGTTCTTTTATTAGAAAGATGTGTACACTATGTAAGACTTCCTGACACGAATTTGGATTTAGTCAGGTCCCAATGCGGGATACCGGATAACGCGTGGAAAACCATAAGGCAATAAAGATACTACAATATAGTCTTTTAAGTTGTAAACATGTAATGACTTTTAGTTTTTGGTCAAGGACCAAGTTATAAGTCTTCTAATAAGGAAGATGATAAGAAGTTTCCTATAAAAGACTATGAATTGTGAAAAATGTTAAAGTCTTGCTCTTTATTATGTGTGTTTCTAGTTGTTGTTGTTGTTGTAGTTTTTAGCAATATTTTTCGACAATGTCTCATGCTTCTTCTTCAAAAGTTTGCAAATATAGTGTTTTTTTGAGTTTTAGAGGTATAGATACACGTAGAACCTTTGTGAGTCATCTCTATAATGCTTTAGAACAAAAAGGAATTGATGTTTTTAAAGACGATGAGCGGTTGGAAACGGGAAAATCAATTCCTAATGAACTAATGAAAGCCATAGAAGAGTCTAGATTTGCTATTGTAATATTTTCCGAAAGCTATGCATCATCAAGATGGTGTTTGGAGGAGCTTGCACATATTATAAAGTGTCGAAATGAATTAGATCAGATAGTGATTCCAATTTTTTATGATGTAAGTCCATCTGATGTAAACCATCAAAACTCACCATTCGCTGAGTCGTTTTCAAAATACAAAGATGATGAGTTGGAGAAGGTTCAAAGATGGAGAGAAGCTTGTAAGGAAGCTGGGAAAATATCAGGATACCATTTACAAGAATGCAAGTAAGATTTCTTTCTTTTGCACCATATCCTTTTTTCGTAAATACGTTGATTTTCTGTCATATTCCCTTCCCTTTTTTCGTAAATGTGCTTTGGTTTGCTGCACTTATGTTGAGGGTCTTTCGGAAACAACCTCTTTACCTCTCTGAGGTAGGGGTAAGGTGTGAGTACACTCTAACCTCCCCAGATCGCCCCTTGTGGGATTACACTGGATATGTTGTTGTTGTGAAAGAATCATTAGAATTAATAAAATAAGATATAAATCATAAAAGAGAGCACACACACACTTGGGTGCTAAATGTAAAGAACTCTATAATCTTATTTGATCTCTAAGTAGTTGTTCGTTTCATTGTCGTTTAGGGATGAGGCAAATTGCATCAAGAAGGTGGTTGATCACATATTACCAAACGTTATTTCAACCGTTTCGGAAAGCTTAGTGGGTACTCAAATTGAAAAAGTAATCTCATTATTACATATGAAATCTGATGATGTTTACTTCGTTGGATTATGGGGAATGAGTGGTATTGGTAAGACAGAAATCGCGAGTGTTATATATGAGAGATACCGTCATCAATTTGAAGCTTATTGTTTTCTTGGTGATGTTGGAGAAATGTACCGGAAAAAGGGACTTAGATGGCTACAGAAAACTCTTATCTGCAAACTATTTGGAAAAAAGATCATTGTAACTAGTGAACATGATGGAACCATAATTATAAAGAATGGGCTTCGGTGGAAGAAAGTTTTACTCGTTCTTGACAACGTAGACCATCTAAGTCAACTAGAACTTATAGTTGGAGGGACAGAGTGGTTTGGCAGGGGTAGTAGAATTTTGATTTCTACGAGAGACAAACACCTGATAGTCAGTCATGTGAAGGAGGATAAAGTATACGAAGTCTTACTATTATCTGAGAACAAAGCTCTTGAACTGTTTTGCATGCATGCTTTCAAAAGAAAATCTCCGGAGAGAGATTTTAAGGTACTTTCAAATGAAGTAGTGAAGTATGCTGATGGACTCCCTTTAGCTCTTAAAGTTTTGGGTTCTTCTCTTTATGGACGAAACAAAGAGCAATGTAGAGATATAATTGATAGATTGAAAAAAATCCCTAATGATGACATTCTAGGAAAACTTAAGATTGGTCTCGATGAGTTGAATAACGATGAGAGGAGAACATTCCTTGATATAGCATGCTTGTACAATCATGAATATAGCTATTACGTTGAACGAATACTTAAGAGTTGTGGTATTCACTTGATAGGAATAAGTTACCTCATCGAAAAATCTCTCTTATGCATCAGATATCACTCGTTTGAGATGCATAGTTTGATAAGTCAAACGGGTCAAAATGTGTCAAGGGAAGAATACGCAAACAGCAGAGTATGGCTTATTGAGGAAGTTCATGACCTTTTTGCTGGAAAGTTGGTAAGAAATATTTTATCAAAAAAATTGATAATTTAAGAAGCTCTTAGTATTTTGTGACTTCGTTATGTTGAGTTTTTTTGACAAATAGATATATGTTCCTTTCCTTACAGAAAACAAAAAAGGTTGAAAGCCTACAGATCCCAAATGGTTACCGGTTTGAAGATGATCATATCAATTATAACAAGGTATTCAAGAGAATGCAATGCTTACAGGTGTTGATACTTCATCGTAGAACTATTTGCTCGGAAAACACTGTCACTTGTTTGCCTTCTAACCTGCGGTGGATTGAATGGCCGAACTATCCTTCAAGTTCATTGCCAGAGGGGTTTGAACCATCACAACTAGTTGGGCTTTGTTTACGTGGAAGTTGTCTTGTTGAACTTTGGCCAATACCAAAGGTATAGTGATTTCTTTCTCTCCAAAACAATAGCTCCAGTTTATCACGCGCTATGGTTCAAATGCTATACCAAATAAATGCTTTTGTATAAGCAATTTACATCATGTAACATAAATAGAATAGCATATGTCTATTAGGAGTACTACTTGAGCTAACTGGTAATTCGCAGGTACGTTATGTTTTAATATTTTGTTATTTTTATGAAAACAGAAACTGTGCAACTTGAAGTATTTGAATCTAAGCGAGAGCCTTGGGTTAACGAAGACCCCTAATTTTGGTGATATGCCAAACTTGGAGACACTAAGTTTACGGAGGTGTGAGAATTTGGAAGTGGTTCATCCCTCTCTTGGACATTGCAAAATGCTTACTTATTTGAGTTTGACGGGTTGTGTCAAACTTAAGAAGCTTCCAAAATTTGTCTGTATGGAATCTCTCGAGATTCTTCTCCTTGATGAATGCACGCGCTTAAAAAGATTTCCAAAAATCTGTGGAGATATGCTGCGCTTATCAATACTGTATGTAGAATCCCCCTGGATAAGAAACTTACCCCCATCTCTCAGCGGCCTTAGTCGTTTGAAACTGAAAGGTTGTGAAGTTCTTGAAAGTATTCCAGACTCTATTCTAAATCTTAAAAGACTTCACATTTCAGGTTGCAATAAACTTACAACTTTGCCAAACAGCCTCTTTGAATCACAACAATGGATATTTCTTTATATATACCGATGTTCTGGATTGGTAGAGCTCCCCGTATCTCTTGGAGTTCAAAAGAAGCTTGGTTTTTTATCCGTAGAAGAATGTGAGAACTTAACGAAGCTTCCAAGCTCTATTCAGATGGAATCCCTTACCGAGCTCAAGATATCTAATTGCCCAAAATTAACTACATTTCCAGAAATAATCGGAGATATGCATTGCTTGAAAAGTTTGACTCTGGAGTCTACTGGGATTAGAGAACTGCCTTTGTCCATTGGGAATCTGAGCGGCCTCGAATATCTCAATCTGAAAAGTTGTGAAGATCTTGTAAGTCTACCAAACAGTCTCTGTAAGTTGAAGAATCTTCAACGGCTTATTCTTTGTGGCTGCAAAAAGCTTCCAGGAAACGTTGGTGATCTGCAAGAGTTTGAGACACTTGATACGAGTATCAACATTCCTCATGTTTCGTCTTGCATCAAGTATCATGTTTAACCTCCTCGGAGATATGTTGATCTTTGCAGACTATCATTTAGCCTTGAAGAGCCTCAGAGATCTAGTAAATAAGTGTCTTAAGCTGCGTATCTTGTCAATATCATGGCGTGGTCATGAGAAATCCGAATGCCAAACTGTCTCAAGTGAACAAGTTAATGCGTTGAAGTTGCTACGACATTTTCTCCAGACATGCATCCAGGTTTTTTAGCTATCCATACACATATGAATGTTGAATATTTTCGTCAAATTGATTTATACTAATAGTAGTTTCTATTGCAGTGTGACTTCTGCCAAAGGATTTCTTTTCTCATTTGTTTTCCTGAAGTCAGAATTCCAGAGTTGTTCGATTATCAGTTCATAAATCAAAAAGTGATCTCAATTGATCAGAAACCATCTTAGTATACCGATAAGTTCATGGGGTTTTCACTGTGTTATTGTCCTGTACTAGCTTTAATAGCTACGTTGGTCTGCAAATCGGACCCTGAAAGAAGAAGAAGACATTCCTTGAAGTATGTCGTCCGTGAATATTGTCCTAAGCTTCCTTCTTCCATGTATTTCATCTACATACCATTTGAAACATTGTGGCGTGCATTTGACAATAAAGAAGGGAAGAACCCAAATGATTATTACCTTTTGAAGGTATCTTCATTTTACAGGGAACTATGTTGGGGAATTCGATTGGAGTATGAGAATAAAGTTGGGAGATCGATCAAGAAGGATTTCACGAGTTATGTAAAGTCTTTCTGGTAAAGCAGAAGTGTACTGAAAACTAAGTTTTCATACGAATTTCCCAAATGATTCGGAGGTGGGAAAACCCTTTGTTTCCAAGTAGTGTTATGCAACAATTTTTCGACTATCTCTGGTTCATGTTGAATATACATTTAGTTCTTAGTGTTGGTGTAACATCATGGTTTCAAGAGGAATGTTGTAATATATTTTGATTGACATTTGAGTTTCTTGTAAATAATACATTATGTATTTGTTGAGACATAAGTTTCATATATGTTTTTGAGTTACATTAGTATTTTGTTTATAACATGTCACACGTTGGATTTTTTATCCACATCCTTGAATTATTATTCCACAAAAAGATTCGATTATGACTTTTTAGTGTTGTTATTGTCGTTAAATGTGGATAGGGGAAGTGGTTTTATTGGTTTGGTTAATCGGTCACATTTTATTCAACAGAAAGATTCGATTATGACTTTGTAGAGTTGTTATTGTTGTTGCTTGTAGATAGTGGAATTTGGTTAATCGGTCACATTTTATTCAACAGAAAGATTCTATTATGACTTTGTAGAGTTGTTATTGTTGTTGCATGTAGATAGGGGAGGTGGTTTTAACGGTTTGGTTAATTGATGATATTTTAATTCGTCCAAGTTTAAATTGATTATTGATTTATTTAATTATTAACTCAGTATTTCATAGCTCCATATTATAGCTCATCAAAGTTTAGGTTGATAACTAACCCAAGTAAATTTATGGGAATATTTAAAAAAAAATGCTTTGCCTCCTTCCCTATGCTTGATCTTAATTAGTAGAGTTGACTTATTATGGCATTAAAACAACTTATCTTAATATTATTAAGTCAAAATTGTCTTATTATATTATTATATTAACACTTGGTATAAACAATTATTTGTGCATCAACTCAGCATGAAGTGCACTTCAAGTTTTATTTTTTCATAGATTTCCTCACACAATAGGGTTTGGATCTGATAATTAAGAAGTCAACATTGAGCTTTGAACTTTGTGTGACAGTTATAAGTTCAACAAAAATTATACATGGACCAATAAAATCATGTCACATTTTTAATTTAACATGCCAACTCTTATTCATTTATCAACAAAAAATATAAATTATGGAGGAATGATTATGTTATGATTCTTCCATTTTTAATTAAAAGTCTAAAGTTCAAGCTCCTTAGAATGGATAAAATTTTGTTAGGAATATCCCCTCTATAATGCATGAATTTTAATTAGTTGCATATAATAAGGAAGAAAAACAAATGTTTCCACGGTTTAAATATTTGATATTTTCTTTTGGTAGTTTTTCTTTTCTTTTTAAAATGTCTCTATATTTACTAACTCTCCATATAATTTCAATGTTCTACCTAGATTCTTTAAGACCTATTATGTAAAATGCATTTTAACATTATATACATTTTAAATCTAAATCACAATATTTAGGGATTTATATTACTTTTTAAAATTTTGTGCCTAGTTGAATTAAGCCACTTAAATTGGAATTGGAGAGTAACAAATTATTATCCCTTCAAAAATAAAATTTTCAACGCCCAAAAATGTTACTATTCATTATTTTATTTTTCCAAAATTTACCCTTTTCTCTGATATTTTTTTCAAATCCCAACACTAATTATTTCTACTTTTAATTAAATAAAGTTTCCAAAAAATAAAAAGGATACCTTTGATTTGTGTAGTTAATTACTCTCTACGTTGTAGTTTTTTTTTTTATTTATGTTCATTTAGAAAAAATAATAAATCCAAAACTGAACTATTTTCTATACTCATTATCTTATTTATTAGACCTTCTTCAAATAACAACAGCAACAACATGGCTAATATTAAGGAGATGGTTGAAAAATAATTATCAACGCTGGTATTAAAATTTCTAAAACGTGATATTTTTATTTATATTTATTCTTTTTACTTTTTAGTGAAAACTACTGTGTAGATAAAATAGTAAGGGAATGGAGCAATTTTCTCTAGGTAAGTTAAAGTTTGAAAAAGTAGTTGTAGAGTCTTTAGCTTTTAGGATTCTATGCAACTTTTTTTTTACTTTAAATATGAGAGTTAATTCAGCATCTCTATTAAGATAAAATCAAGAAGAAAAAAAATATGCTGCTAAACAAATTGATAGTAGTTTTTTTGGTCTCATTTCTCGTTGTTAATAGTATAGTGGCTGAGAATCCTTATAGATTCTACGAATGGAATGTTACTTATGGTACTATTTCTCCTCTTGGTGTTCCACAACAGGTTTGTTTGTTTAATTTTCATGTTTTGGAACGGATGTGATATAGACAGTCTACTCTACGTGCAGATAACGTTTTGGAGATTTGATTTTATATTTGTGATGATTTTGTTGTAATTTTTTGTGTTTTTTTTTTTTTTTTTTTTTTTTCTTGTGTATAGGGAATTTTGATCAATGGGCAGTTTCCTGGACCTGATATTATTTCTGTCACAAATGACAATATTATTATCAATGTCTTCAACAATTTAGATGATGATTTTCTTATTTCATGGTAATTTTGCCTCACTTACTTCATTTGTTATCGTCGATATTATTAAATGAATAAAAATATCTATAGATGAAATGGTCACACATGCTCTTGAGCTCCTTATATCGTTCTTTTATCACTCGTTACATGTCTATTATTTGTGAAATCTATATAGGCATGGAGTGCAAAATAGGAGAAATTCATTCCAAGACGGAGTATGGGGCACGACGTGCCCCATACCACCAGGGAAGAATTTCACATATCGTTTGCAAATGAAGGATCAAATAGGAAGCTTTTACTATTTCCCTTCAACTGCATTTCACAAAGCTGCTGGTGGTTTTGGTTCCATCAGGATCTTTAGTGGACCTTTTGTAACTGTTCCTCTCCCTGCTTATTCTGGCGATTTCATCGCCCTTATTGGAGATTGGTACAAGAGAAATCACACGGTACTTATAAATGAATTTTTCATGCTAGATGTCATTATATTTGTTGACGATTTGTTCTGATACTTACTTGGTTTTACTATTTAAAATATACATTTATACAGAACCTTAAAGCAATTCTTGACAGAGGCCACAAGTTGCCTTTTCCTGATGGTATTCTTATCAATGGTCGTGGCCCTAATGGCGCTTCCTACACAGTTGATCAAGGTAAATACAACTGCAGATGTCGTAATTCTTCTTGTATAACAAAGTTAGAAAAGAAATAATCTAACAATGAGTATCTCTATGTATGAGTGCAGTGCAAACGTATAGACTAAGGATATCGAATGTTGGATTGGAAAATTCACTGAACTTTCGTATTGAAGGACACAACATGACGTTGGTGGAAGTAGAGGGTACACACACAATGCAAGAGACATATACCTCACTTGACGTTCATGTTGGACAATCATACTCTGTCCTCATCACAGCTGATCAAGCTCCTAAGGACTACTACATTGTTGTTTCATCTCGTTTCACGTCTAAGGTTCTGACTACCACAGGTGTACTTCACTACAGCACCTCTAACAACATGGTCTCTGGCCCGATCCCTAGTGGACCAACCATTGAAGTTGGTTGGTCTCTTCACCAGGCCCGTTCTATCAGGTGTGGACTTGTTTTCACCACTTTACTTATCATATTTCGCTTTTCTAATGTAACTTGGTACTCTTTTTTTTTTGTGTCTTGATTAGGACTAACTTGACAGCTAATGGACCAAGGCCTAACCCACAAGGCGCGTACCATTATGGTATGATCAATACAACTAGAACTATCAGACTTGCAACTTCTGCTGGCCAGGTGAATGGTGAGCAGAAATATGCTGTCAATAGTGTGTCGTTTGTGCCCACTGATGATACTCCATTGAAGCTCGCTGACTACTTCAAAATAGGAGGATTCTACCCCGGAAACATACATGATGTCCCCATCGGTGGAAGAATTCACCTCAACACATCTGTTTTGCAAACTGACTATAGGACATTCATTGAGATTGTATTCGAGAACAAGGAGAGTATCGTTCAAAGTTGGCATATTGCTGGTTACGCCTTTTGGGTAGTAGGGTAAGAACACTCGTCATTCATTCCAATTTCTAGTTATTACTCCCTCCGTCCCAATTTATGTAAAGAAGGGAGTGCTATTGAGTTATGTTTAATTTTGACTGTGAATTATTCCTGATGTTAAATATTAGCATGGACGGCGGACACTGGACTTCTGCAAGCAGGGACCAATACAATCTTCGTGATGCAGTTTCACGTAGCACAACTCAGGTGATCAGATTAGTTTATATAATATGAAATAATTTCTTTCCTGAGAAAAAAAGACTAACATGAGAAAATATTGGAAAATGTAGGTGTATCCAAGGTCATGGACAGCAATATACATTGCATTAGACAATGTGGGAATTTGGAACATAAGATCAGAGTTTTGGGCGCGACGGTATCTCGGACAACAACTATACATGAGGGTATACACAACATCAACCTCCTTACAAGATGAATATCTGATTCCAAATAATGCTCTTTTATGTGGCAAGGTGGCTGGATTCCACAACAAGACCATATTAAACTAAGGGCCAAATAAATATGATAAATTTGATTGACATATGATTTTCACGGATTAGGGTGTTAAGATAGGTAATTGTGTGTCGTCTCGTTGTCCAGCGAGATAAGTTTCTCTTTGCATATTATTAGTATTAGCACTGTTCTCGTAGTTTATGGTCTCTCAATTCCTGCTTATATTGTTTATTGTGCTTTAACTATTGTAAGTTTCTTTTTTCTGTATGTTCTAGAATGTTTCCCTTATTATTTGTAATATCTTTCCCACTTTTTGTGTTACTTAAGTTAATATCTTCCTTACTTTTTGTGTTACTATGTGGATCAGTTCTACTAACATTAATGTAAGGTTCATTATCTTTTTAACCTTAAAAAAATTGCATTCGGTTCAATTCTCATGGTTTTAGTTGTCTTGAAATTTATAATTTAAGAATTGTTGTTTTCCTATCTACGATTAGAAATTCACATTCTGTTATGTTTGCTTCTGTTGGATTAAAACAACCCAAAAATACTTTTAATATTGCTTAGACTTGTAAGTTCTAGAATTTTTACACATAAAAGAAAGAATGTTAAATATGAAAAGTCCTTCCAATGGTTATGATCCTCTATTTAAGCCCAATGTACCACCACCAAAAGAGCTACATGGAATTGAATATATTGTAATCTTAATAGGTAGTGTGTTTCATAGCAGTCTTTCTACACATCCATATATTTTGCTTATATTGTTATTGGAGGATAATAAATTAACTAATGTTGTGGCCATAAAAAATAAATACAGTCCATATATTCAGTTTAAAAATCTCAATAATTTTTAAAATTTACGAATTTAAAAAGCATTTGATTAATTTGATACATTGGATGATATTATGGAATTTCATTATTAGTTTAGTGTTCTTATTATGTTATATTAATATTTTCTCAAATATATTAAAGATGTAATATTTAATTACAATATTGTTTAAATTGTATGTTATGAATTATATTGAGTATATTAGTATTATTGTAGTAGTAGTACTTTGTCCCCAAGTAGATTTGCTAACCTAGATGATGAGGACATCTCTGAGGACAAGGAAGAGGAAATGCTGGATTATTGTTTTGCAAATGCAGCTAGGAATGCTGATATTTCTCCTAGGCAACAATGCAACAACAAAACGAAGCATGGAAGAAAGCATAGTTGAAATGGTAAAGTGACTGAGGAGTTTGTTCCAAGGCACCCTACTGATGCAACTGGCGAAACAGAATCATATGATAGTGTCAACAGCTTCAACAAGATCCAATAAAACAAAAAAATGATGGACAATCAAGTGTTATTGGACAGATTTGAAGAAGCAGACAAGAGAAACATACTTTAAGTTCCTTTAGAAATTCAAACTATCTTTTTTAGTTCATACATTTTAAAAGGAAGTTTGAGGTTGGTAACTCAACTTTCTCCTTGGCTTTTATGATTTTTTATTACTTAAGAATCCTCACTTGTAATATCATCATAGAGTGTATTATAAACTTTGTAATGATCATAGAATATCTAGTTATCTCTAGCTCGTATTTTCTTCATGGTTGTTAGTTAGTAGAGGATAGGTATCTCATTAGGATTGGTAAGGTAAGGACCAACCTCCCTTGCTTGTACGTATTCCTATTGAGATTTTTTTTTTATGTTTATTATTAATTAAAAAAAAACACTAGAACACTGTCTACTGGTATAAATTTGCTCAAAAAAAAGTATATTAGTATTATTGTACTTTTTTATATTTAATATTCTTTTAATTTAATATATTTAGATGTTGAGAAAACAAACAGACTTAATAATTCAATGTTCAGATCTACAATAACATCTTAATCATTTAGATGTGCATTCAGATTCAGGCTTTATGTTTTAATCTTAATGAAAACAAATAAGGCCTAATGACTGAGTGGTAAAAGAACAAATCAACCACACTTTTCGGGACCTTTTTTTTTCTTCACAAGATGAAACTCAACTCTCATTCTTTTCGCAAATGGAAGGAGATGTCGTGCAAGCCGAAGACTTTGTCAAGTGTCGATAAACTCACCTATGATAATGGGTCGATCTTCAGAATCAATCCTAATCGAATATATTGAAGGGAGATCATCTATCCTCTTAATCCTTATAGTAGATATTATATATAGGATAATCAATTCACTGCGGTGCCCAAGACAAGACAAGATGAATAAGAATGTTGAAGGGACATAAGACTCAGATAAGGTAAGGAAAGACACTGACCATCTAGGTCACCAATCTTCTTTTTTAGGGAGTTGGAGACGATCATTTATTAGAAGTGTGAAAACAACTAGAAGTTGAGTAAACTAATGCAACAATTTTAGGCTTAAATATAACGTTACAGAATGATTGTAGTTTAATAAGTGAAAGAAACATAATCTGAAATCATTTTCACGACTTAGGCACAACATTATACCATTTTCCGAAAATAAATTTATACTTAGTAAGTCTTTGGCATTGAGTTGAGCTAAATTGAGCCCATTCTTCAGCCCAATCGAATCGAACCTATCTCAACGCTAATTCAACTTATTTATCAATATGAACTGTGGAGGGATACTTGATATTTCTCTACCTTTAATCACATGTCTCGAGTTCAAGCTTATAGGAATGAAGAAAATTCTATTGGCAGTATCATCTCTAAAAAATGAATCAGGTAATGCATGGATTTTAGTATTTGCATAGCTCCATTTCAATATTTGACATTTTCTTTTAGTATATTTATAACAACAACAACATACCAATTAATATTAAGGATATACTTAAAATAATAATCAACTTAGCTATCGTTACAAAGTATTGGTAAAATAGTAGGACTGAGAGAGGATTTTTTTCTAAATAAGTTAAACATTGAAAAAGTAGTTGTAGAGTCTTTGGCATTTAGGACTCTATGCAACTTTTTTTTCACTTTAAATATGAGATGTTAATTCAAATACTCTGTTAAGAAAAAGAAAGAAGAATTTTTTTTTTGACATTTTAGTTAGTTGCATAGAATAAGGAGGAAAAAAAATGTTGACATTTTCTTTAGGTGCAATTTTTTTTCTTTTTAAAATGTCTCTATATTTACTAACTCTCTATATAATTTCAACTCTCTATATAATTTCAATGCTCTACCGTAGATTCTTTAAGACCTAATATGTAAAATGCATTTTAGTACATTATATACATTTTTAATCTAAATCACAATAATATTAAAAAATTTATATTATTTTTAAAAAATTTGTGCCTAGTTAAATTAAGCCATTTAAATTGAAATTGGAGAGTAACAAATTATTATAGCTTATACTCCCTTCAAAAACAAATTTTTCAAAGCCCAAAAATGTTACTATTCGTTATTTTATTTTTCCAAAATTTACCCTTTTCTCTGATATTATTTTCAAATCCCAACACTAATTATTTCTACTTTTAAATAAAGGTCCCAAAAACTAAAAGGATACCCTTTGATTTGTGTTGTTAATTACTCTCTACGTTGTAGTTTTTTTTTTTTTTTTAATGTTCATTAAGAAAAAATAATAAATCCAAAACTTAAGCATCATTTACTATACTCATTATCTTATTTATTAAACCTTCTTCAAATAACAACAACAACATGACTGATATTAAGGAGATAATTGAAAAATAATTATCAACGCTGGTATTAAAATTTCTAAAACGTGACATTTTTATTTATGTTTATTCTTTTTACTTTTTTTTTCTTTTTTGTTGAAAACTACCGTTACAGTGTAGGTAAAATAGTAAGGGAATGGAACAATTTTCTCTAAGTTAAAAGTTTGAAGAAGTAGTTGTAGAGTCTTTAGCTTTTAGGACTCTATGCAACTTTTTTTAACTTTAACTATGAGACGTTAATTCAAATACTCTATTAAGATAAAGTCCAGATGAAGAAAAAAAAATATGTTACTAAAAAATTGTTAAAGTAGTTTTTTTTTGTGTCACTTCTAGTTGTGAATAGTATAGTAGCAGAGGTATTTCCTTATTATTTGCTATGTCTTCATTATTATTTTTTTATATTATTAGAGATAATTTAGGTATAAGTTTTATGAACATTAACATAATGTACATTATTTGTTTACCCTAAAAAAAATGCATTTGGTTCTATTCTTATTGTTTTAGTTGTCTTGAAATTTATAATTTAAGAATGGTTGTTTTTCTATCTATGATTAGAAATTCACGTTTTGTTATGTTTAATTCTGTTGGATTAAAACAACCCAAAGATACTTTTAATATTGTTTACTCTTGTAAGTTCTAGAATTGTTACACAAAAGAAAGGATGTTAATTATGAGAAGTCCTTCCAATGGTTATGATCCTTCGTCTAAGCATAATGTACCACCACCAAAAGCGTTGTAGAGAACTTAAAAATCTAAAATACTACAAGTGTCTAATTTTATTGGATGTCCACGAAGGGCTCAATAAGTTTGTATTTGGACTATTTAGATCAACTAAATGAGAGTATGACTATGTAGTAAAAGAACAAATTAACCACACTTTTCGGGACTCCTTTCTTTTTTTTACAAGATGAAATTCAACTCTCATTCTTTTCTTTCATAGTTGGAGCAAATGGAAAGAGACGTCTTTTATTTACAAGATGAAATTCAACTCTCATTCTTTTCTTTTATAGCTGGAGCAAATGGAAGGAGATGTTGAGCAAGCTGAAGACTTTGTTAAGTATCAGTAGACACGCCTATGGTTAGGGGTCGATCCTGAGAATCAATCACAAGATGAAATTCAACTCTCATTCTTTTCTTTTATAGCTGGAGCAAATGGAAGGAGATGTTGAGCAAGCTGAAGACTTTGTTAAGTATCGGTAGACACGCCTATGGTTAGGGGTCGATCCTGAGAATCAATCCTAATTGGATTTATAAAAGGGAGACTCTCTATCCTCTTAATCTTTAGAGTAAATATTATATATAAGATACTCAAACCATTGCGATGTCCAAGATAAGGCAAGATGAATAGGAATGTTGAAAGGACATAAAGCTCAACTAACGCAAGGAATGACCCTGACCATCTAGGTCACCAATCTTCTTTTTTAGGGACGATCATTTCTTAAAACTCGATAATAGTGTGTTTCTACCAACAAAGAGACGTATCTGTTCTATTGCAACAGTGCTGATTTTTCCACAAATAGATAGAAAACAACGATTCATTTGTTATGATTCAAGACAATGCAATGTTATGTGTAAACAGAACTAGAAGTTGTGTAAACTAATAGGAGCATTAATAAGCCAGTACTACTACTTAATCGTTACATTGCGCTCTGAGGTTGTATATATATAACAGCACTCGAAGAAAGAAGCACAACGTGGTTCACAAAATTACAAGATTCAAACACCAAAGATAAATCTGGCATAAAAAAACTGGCAAGTAAATCGCCATCCTTTGAAGCAACAAAGCGGCAGGTTATTGTCAACTGTCAAGTAATTGAACTGCATATCGTGATCTAGAGATTAGGGAATCGAAGGTCAATTCTGCTTCAGTTTGACGAGATTGAACATTCGTTCCAGACAGTTTGAATCCATGATGCCTGAAAACAGTCAAACCAAGTTTGGTGTCATACTAATTGTTATTAAAATCTGCCATAATTCACAGTAGGAAGCAACTTCAAGACAAAGAAAAATAGGGACACGAAATGAAATCCGTAAAGAAGCAAAAAGTAAAAACAACTAAAAGGGAATAGGTATGTCTCACTTGGTGAAATGAGCTTACCCACCTTACACATACAGGTGGAAGTTCGAATTTCCATTTTGTTTGCCCTTCCGCACTCCCTTTCCCTTCCCACTTAGAAAAATATATGAAAACTGTACAACAAAATTTCATCTCTTAATACCGAAGTGGTAGAAGAGTAACTACACAGCCAGCTTCTGCAGTTGTTTATCAATCTCGTTCAGCCTCTATGAAGTAAGACAAACTTGTAAAATGAAAGAACAACTTGAAGCAAAGTATCATCTGCATCCTCTCTATTCAGGTATAGACTCTAAGGGAACGTTTTGTAGGAGGTATTAGAGAAAATAATACATGTAATAGCCTTGGTAATATTTAATCCCTTGCTTGGTAGTGTTCTCAACCTATGAATTAGTAGTAAACCATCACATTAACAATACAGGTACTATTCCTATTCAAATACACCTCATTTAGTACTATTCCAGTTCTAATACACCCTATTCATTTAATACAACAAACCAAACAGTCAATAAAGAAATAATGTCCGCATAATTAATCCCAGCATTACTAATACACCCTATTTAGTACTATTCTTATATACCCTACCAAATGACCCCTAAATGTTTAGTTCAATTTTTTTTTTAAAAAGAAACACAATTTTGTCAATGTCCTTCAAAAGAGTTGCAACATAAATAAAGCATGGCAAATGACAAATATTATGGATCCCTAACACTCATTCACTCGTCCTTTATTAAGAACTCCTCCAAAGAGAACCAACTCCATTTCTAGAATGCTCAACCCACATCTAGAATTCACTTCCTTCAGAGAATGCCCGGCTCCATGTTGTTCAGACACTTAAAAAATGTTGACGGGTGCGTGTTGGATCCTCCAAAGGTGGTGCATTGTTGGAGGATCTCACATGGGCGCCGCAACATTTTTGAAGAGTCCGAGTTACATAGCCCCATATCATTTTTCAAAGTAGGTGTAAGTGGTTCTTCAGGCCTTAGCTTAACTGGCATGACTCCAGCAACTTCATTTCACTCATTCACAAAGAAAAATGCCTCCAAACTATCGATGATTAATCCAGTCCACAGAGTATGTTACTTCCAGCTTTTTCCAAAACAAATCGAGCCTGATCTATGTTTCAAACAGAGATATGGGTATCACAGTCTTTAAACTATTAAGGAGACATTATTGAACAAACCATAGAAACTTCAAATCCAAAGTCAAGTACTCCCCCCGTCCCAATTTATGTAGCAATGTTTGACGAGGCACAAAGTCTAAGAAAGAAAGACTGACTTTTGAAACTAGTGTTATAGAATATACCATAGACATTTGTCTGACTATAATTATTCTCATTAAACGTAAAATAAAAAGTTTAAAATTAAATTATTTTAAAATAAGTTAGTATGGTATTCTTTTTCAACAGACTAAAAACAAAAGTATGCCATATAATTGGAATGGAGGAGTAGTTTCTTTACTTTCTGGAGCATACTTCATTTGTGCAGAAAAACAAATGATGCCATGCATCCATAATAATCCAAAAGGCAACAACATTTTCATTCAATTATTGTATAGAAAGACTGTACGCCATGTATCCAGGACAGTCGTAAAGCTTACAGTTGAGCTGCTCAGAGAGGACATATTTCTAAACGTCTCCAATCTTCACGATATACATAAACTGATAAAAGGAACTCTTTTTACTACAGCATGACTATTTTGTGTAACATTCAGCAACTGAACATTGTTTATTTCTAGCTAAGTTGCACAGAACAGGAAATTCGACCCTCAATTTCTCTTCATCCAACCATCTATCATTCCAGAAACAGGTTCTTCTACCGTTTCCAACTTTCAATTCGTGAATCCCTGAAATTCAGGCCATAAATTACTTATCTGCTACCAAATACTAATTCTTGAAGGCAGTGCCTCTGGTCTCATGAGGTTTTTCATCAGGTGATTGTCCCCGTTAATTTTAACTATCGGTGTGAAGGGGGCAAACATGCTTAGTTTTGATAATTTTTCAGAAGTTCTTATACGCATAAAGGTATATTTATAGGACGACTTTATACCTACGGACTCTCAAACCTAAGGTACCAGTAATGTCATTTTCTAGTGATTTTCATGTGGCAGTTATTTTGTGGGATAATGGGTAAAACATGAGTCATTTTATTGGTATAAAGCAAACAAAAGTGATTTCACTAAGCCATTTCTGTATCTTGGATGACCATCTAAGAACTTAACTCTTAATGCATCGCATGGGAGGGGACGGACCAAACAACTATGCAGTATTGAAACACTGATTTTCTTTTCTTTTCTTCACTTCCCTTTGGTAAGGAATGTTCATATAGTTTCCATAGTAGTTATTATAAGCCAAACTTTCCACTCATTTGACCTTCACATGCTGTTTCTGAAGACAGGTCTATTAATCAAACAATAAATCAACTTAGACTCGATCACTAAGCGAACTGGTAATACAATGAAATCATCTATAACTGGTCTCTAAGGATGTCCAACTGTTGTTAAAGCCTCAAGCAAGCTTAGTTAAAGCTAGGTTGTAGCCGATGGTGATGTAATCGGACGACATTAAACAAAAAAACAATCATCTTTTTCCATTCTGCAGCATTCATCCTATTTCATTTCAAAATATCACATCAACAAATAATTGAAAACTCCTAAATTGCTTAATTCATTAACACTAAATATAAATTGCAGGAATAACTCACATAGAACAATACAATCTTACTTTTCAACAGTCTTCACCGAAGAGGCGACGAAGACGGGAAGCAAAGCGACCAGTAGGCTCAGCAGCAGCTTCAGCAAGCAAGCTTTGCCTAATATGATCCATTCGTTGAACAAGTCCTTGTTGTTCTTCCTCGAGCGCAGCATTATCCTCCATGAGATTATGAATACGATACTTTTGCCCAAGCGATCTAACACTCAATAGAAGTATTCCTGTCATGGCGAAGAACTGTATGAAACTGTCTTTTCTCTTCATTGCGTTTGCAAAGAAGCCTAATGACTTATTAGGGTTCTGGAAGCCGCCGGAAGCGACCGATCTCGGTGGTGGAATAGAGGAAGCCATTAAGATTCCTGAAAATGCCGGAAAAATAGTCGCCGGCGGGCAAATGATCTCTAAGGAATTGCAGCAGTCTAATGACACTTTTTTTTAGTTCATTGCTTTTTGCACTCCTATTTTGTGTGATTTGTACTTTGTCCTATTTTTTAATTATTATTATTTATATTCTAATTATTTTTTTTCCAAAATAATGAAAATTGTTCATTGTTTTAAAATAAATTTATTTTTACTTGTCATATTTTACGTATTAAGATTTTTCTTTTACTTGTTTTACCCTTAATAACAATAATTTATTCTCGAGTCTAATATTAAACTTTTAATTAATATAAATATTATGATAAAATACTCATACCAAACACTATTTTACTCTGTAGTTTATATTGTAGAATATAATAATAAAAAAATCTGTTGGGGTTTACCTTCTGGGTCGAGCTCGTCGCATCAGGCTTGCATAGTGTGGATTATCTCTCCTATGTGGTTTGCGAGCTATTGCATAGGAGCGGGAGTTTTACCCTATGCGCACCCAAAGGGTAGCGGCTGCGGATTTTCCTTGTCATCAAAATAATAATAAAAAAATCTGTTGACAATTAATGACATATAATAATAATAATAAAAAAAAAAAAAAAAAAAAAAAAAAACCAAGAAATAATTATAAGAATTGCAAAAAAATTAGATAAATCAAAACCAATAAAAAATTCATTAATTTAATTTAATTTTAAAATTTTAAAATTCAAACTTAATTTTTTAAATCTATTTATATAAGAAAAAATCTAGTCAAACAGAACCATATACATCTTTAGTAAAATGTTTACTAGAAATCTATTTAGTTTTTTTTTCCATAAAAATATTGGCTAGTAATCTATTTAATCTTTTTGCCTAATTAGGAGTCAATTTTTTCATATTTTATTTTTATTCTTATTACAGTAATTTGGTTAAAATAGTGTGCCTTTTTAGGACATGAATTATCATTTTTCTTCTGGGGACTCTCATTCATCACTCTCTCTTTCTTCTTCTAACCCCCCACCCCCCTTTCTCCACCCACCCCACACCACCGGAGGTTTAAACCCTAACTCTACTCCGATGGCTTTAGCCGGCGGCTATGCAAACTCCAAGTTAATCCAAAACGACGCTGCCGTGGCGCCACCAAAACCCTTGTCATCTTCTGTAATCGAACGATATAAGGCGGCGTTGAAGGAGAGGGAAATGGAAATTAGGGCTTCTATGCCGAACGGCGATGATGATGTTATCGTGTTGCCTCCGTCTATGAATGAGATTGTTAGGCTTTATGAATTGTTGTTGTCCGAACTGGCTTTTAATTCTAAGCCTATCATTACTGACCTTACCATCATTGCTGGCGAACAGAGAGAACATGGTGAAGGCATTGCTCATGCGATTTGTAATCGGATTCTAGAGGTAGTGTGTTACAGTATTCTGTTTTCTTACGGTTTTGAAATGCTGCTTACAACAACAGTTAATCCTAGCCGTTTCAATTCCCATTTTCAATCTGATTATCTTAATAAAGCGATTTCTTTTGTTCTGATGTAAAAATGGTATTGCCTTTGCTTTTTCTATGTCGAATTCTATCCTTTTGAACTGTATTGAAGTTTCTTGATGAACTGTATTGTTTCAGGAGTGTTGGATTCTTGTGCATTCTGTTGATTACTGTAGTGGTGAATTGTTAATCTTGTAACTGTTAAAAGTTTCCGTGGGAATGCTGTTTTTTTAGTTTGGTTTATTGCATTGCCAAGAGTATTGTCATCTAGATATCAAAAGTTGAATGCTAGATTTTAAGTCCAAGTATTCTGTGAATTCTGGTATGAAAATGTGACATTTTATGGTATGGGAGTCCTTGGCAATAAGCATTAAGCAATTGAAATGAACTTAGATGCTTTAAGCTACTCTCCATGACATATACGTTAGAGCTGAATGAAGCAGTTCCAAAGTCTGGGATCTTATACTTGTCATGACTTAGCTGTTCTTGCAGATTTTTATGTTGTATGGAGCTTGTGAAAACTCTTACACTCATTTCTTCTGAACCCGAAAGGAAAAGTTAGAAGAAGTATACTGATAGCGACTGACACTCAAAATTATAGATTATATCAGGCATGGACAAATATTAATTCAAATTAACGAGTTAAAGTAATACATTCTTAATATTCCAGTCCTCTTGCTTAGGTCTCCTTAAATTGTTTCATCTATTTATTTTTCTTTGTTTGGGCTGCTGGTGGCTAAGATTTGGTGTGGTAGTTTGTGGTTGAGTATTAGCGTTGGATTCATCATCTCCATGTGCTTTTAGATGAAGTTAAAGATTAGGGTACTTCTCCTTCTAAAATAATAGAATGATGAAAGGTGCTTCTGATATCCAATAGTTCTAGCGTCATGTGGTTGATGTTACAATATGAACGGAATATATTTATTTTTATGATTAATATTGCTGTGATGCAAATTAGTCTTTGAAGCTTACTGATTCTTACAAACTGGGCAGCAGATGTAGAAAAGTTTGTAGTCGTGCTCCTTTTGCTTGATCAATTCCTTCCCTGTGTAAATGAACAGAATACTTGCACAATAGATGGTGGGGAAGTTTGTCCTTTGTTTGGCTGTGGTGCATAGATTTGATATATTCTTACATAGAAGAGGTTAAGAGAAAATATATCATGGAAGAGTAGTTTGGTTTACAGTTGATGCTTTTTCAATAGGTGAGTTGTATGAAGAAAAAGGAACTCTTGGGATTGCATGCTAAGTGCTATTCCTCTTAGAATGGACTGGAAAGAATCAAAGAAATAATGAAAACTTCATGAGATTTAGAGAAAATCAGCATGTAACTACTCCCCTACTTAGTTTGAAAATTTTCTAGTTCACATTATGGCTGAAAAGATAGCCGTCTCTTTATTCGTTTTGATAATTATTTTATTTACAGGGGTTTGTTTTTTAAGGATTACTGTTCAAGTGCTTTCGACCACACATCACCTGCAACATAAGCAGGACAAAATGTAGGAACTAACTACTTTCTGAGAGCTGTATGAGGTGCCGCCCAGTATAGCTAAAAACCACTTGATAGTGAAACTATTGATCACTTGTATTAACTGTTTAGGTTAAGCTAAATCTGACCAATGCTTATTCAGATTTTTATATTTACAAGTAGAGTCTCTGCCTTTCTTGCTTTTTTTTTTGTCCGGGGAACTGGTAATTTTTTGTTCTTAGCATGCCATTTTGATGTATTTATACCCATATTTTTCTGCATTCTCACATTACTCTTTTTTAGGTCCCAGTTGAGCAGAAACTACCTGCATTATACCTTCTGGATAGTGTTGTAAAAAATATTGGCAAAGACTACATCAAGCATTTCTCTTCCCATTTACCTGAGGTGAGTTGTTTTATATGGTATTTGCATGACTGCTATGATGTTATACCACTTTATATGATTTTGTTTTTCTTTTCCAAGGTTTTCTGTGAGGCATATAGGCAAGTGCACCCTAGCATGCATCCTGCAATGCGCCACCTCTTTGGAACATGGTCGACTGTGTTCCCAGCACCTGTTCTCCAGAAAATTGAAACTCGTCTTCAGTTTTCACAGCCGGGGGTCCAACAATCTTCTGGCTTGACTTCGTCAAGAGCATCTGAATCACCCCGACCAACTCATGGCATTCATGTAAATCCAAAATATTTGGAAGCAAGGCGTCAGCTTGGGCACTCCACTATTGATTCAGTAAGCTTTTAGTGAATCCCCATTCTCCCCTTGACATCTATTCCCTTCTCAAGTTCTTTGTTTTCTAAATTATCTCTATTTGCAGATGGGTTTATGTTTTCTGGTGCTGTATTAAGTATTTATTTTAATTTATCATCTGTGCCGGTGTTCCCCCTTGGTTCTCATATCCATACCTAATATTCGAAATCGTTGAATTAACTTTAAGGATGTGGCCAAATTTATGAAAAAGTCTTCAGCAAAATATTGTACTAATTAATATAATCTGAAATGCATTTTTTTTTAAAAAAAGGTAAGTATGTTATATATTCAAAAGCAGAATAACTTAGCACTAAGGTAGTACACATAACTGGAAACCTTATGTACAAAAAAAGACGAATTAGGGGCTCTCTAACACTGAGGATCTAATTAGTGTAGGCATGAAACAAAATTTTGGTCAAAATTTTTTGTTATGTGAATTTTTTTCTATTAATTTATGCCTTTTAAGCTTCCTTTGGTTCCTATACACTACCAATGAGGTGAAAAAAATACCCTTAATTGGCTTCTTTCTTTTGGGTAAGTGCAATAGCAACACCATTGGAGTTGCTTATTCCAATGGGAGGAGAATATGTTTAACACCAACAAGTTCTAGGGCTTAAAACTGAAATAATTGTTAAAAATGTTACTTTTTGAAGTATCAAATTGAGGCAGAAATGTCATTCAAGGAGACTAAGCTTGAAAGTAGGTAAAAGGCTTTAATCACGGCATAACAGAAGTTTAAAGCCTTCTGCCTCCAACTTTACTAGTAGTACAGGTAAGACACATCGTTGACACATATCATCAACATTGTTGAGTCTTATGGTTGGATCTTCTATAGGTAGTTGTGATAGACATAATTGAACCACTTGATTCTAGTTTTCCTTTTCATCTCATTTTTCATCCCTTTACTGGTACTTTATGAGGTTTTGAGAATTTGGTCCTTTGGAAGTACCTGGGCCTGTAATTAAAGTAATTCTATTGAGAGATAGGGGGTTAGTGTAGAACAAACTTGCTTGAGGATGTCATGTTGGCATTTCTCATTAGGTGTCAAATGTGGTTAGTTATTTTTTAGTCCAGATACAGATGATCACTCGACATTGATTTGTGAAGTTAGAACTGTTCGCGCAATTTGGCTTAGCATATTTTCAGGGAGTCACCCTACAGATATCGTAGTCTAGTTATCAATCCACATGTTTTTTTTTCTTTCACGCAATCTAGATGAATGGGGTAGAATGAAATAGCATTTTATAAATCTGCTGACTCCTGTAACTTCTGTATACTTACTAGTTAGGTAGTTATAAGGGTATTATTTTGAAGTAAATGTGATAGGCTTCATAGTCGAGTTACACCGACCGACTTGCTTTGTTGTACTTATTAATATGTTTTCATTTAGATGCCAAACATGTGAAAGGGTTTTAAACTGCAAAAAGGGATGATGAGTAGAATTTCTTAGAGTGAAGTTTGACTGTTGCAGGTAAGAGCTGAAAATTCTACAGCGCATATATCTTCAGATCTGGAGGCCAAGCAAGTTCTGTCTACATCTTCAAAGAATGCGAGATCATCCTCTCCTTATAGAGTGGGGCCTCCGAGGTCATTGTCACCCACCCTCAACGAGTTTGCCTTGGATAATCCTGCCATAGGACTCAGAGAAAGGGCCTCACCATCTCATACTGCATTTGATTATGGGCTTAGCAGAGTAAGAGGTAGAGATGTTGAGAGGAGTGAGTGGCAGAGAATTTTGCCTGATGGTGCCAATCAGCAACCAGACATTCCTTCTAAATATCGCATGAACAAGGGAATTGATCTTCAAGGACCTAGAGCTTTGATTGATGCTTATGGAATTGATGAAAGGGAAAAAGTAGCCAATCTGAGGCAACAAAAGTTCGCGAATGCCACTATTAATGGCTTAGGCAATAGGTTAGCAGTTAAGACATGGCAAAACACCGAAGAGGAAGAGTTCAACTGGGAAGATATGAGTCCAACTTTAGCAGATCAGAGTCCTTTTAATGATTTGTCAACATCTGTTCGCCATCCTCAGAGCATTAGAATGAGACCTGGTGTTGATTCACAACATGCTGTGCCTTTGGTGACTGACCCTAGAAGGAGCTGGGCTAATCGAGGACAATATTCTTTAGTTCATGATTCTTCCTTGGATGATGTTCACTCGGTTAGTATTGATGTACTATTGCATGCAGTTATTTTCCTTAGTTTTGTGCTTATTAATGTTATTCAATTTAGTTTTTTGCTTATTAATGCTATTCAAACTTTTTTGATGTCTCTGATATCTTCAACTTGTTTGGAGAGCAATAAAAAATAGCCTTAGCAGCATATTTTTTAATCTTATCTTCAGCTGATTGTTCAGATTGGAATTCTATATCTGCTTCCCCTTGGCTAAAACAAACCTAATTGGAGCCAGTGGCTTTATTTGGTTGTATTTATTATCTCAGTTATTTGATGGAAGTGGACCAAACTCGTAATTCTTACATTTATTTCGCGATCAAGATAGCATCATAATACACCATGAGTAAATTCATTTGCTCTTTGTCTTGTATATAAGGGGGCATCTTTTTTTGTTTTATCACTTGAGATTTTTTTTTTTTCATATTGAAATTATGTCAGTTCTTTTGGCAGTCTGGTCGAGGGGCGAGAAATAAAATTACTGGATATTGCGATGAGACATCTCTGCTTTCAGGTTCACATTATCTTCACAAGCTTCCAGAAAATGTGCCACAGTTGCCTCTAAGACATTTAAAGGGTGAAGGAAGTGGAATCTCATCAGCGACCGGTGAATCAAAGCACCCTTTGATTGGCAATTTGGCTGCTGATGGACATACTTGGAGGCCACCATATGTTCCGCCAAGAATGAATCCTACTTTTGACTCTTCAGTTCAGGATATTCGGGTGGTTACTGGACGTGGCCCTGGTGTACCATGGCCTCCCCAAAATGTGCATGCTCCCCAATCTTTGACTTCAAAACCTGTTGTTCTGCCTCATAATCATGTCAGAAGTCCTTTTGAAGTAAATAATGCAAGCAATTCAGTTGTCAATCATTCTTTGGACAGGCCAGTTCTTCCTGAGCAACATATTGATAATTTGAAGAGCAGCTCACATATCAAGTATCCACAATTTCCTAGTCAACACCCCACGTCATTTTCTGCAAGTCATCAAAACCCTGAGCAAGTGGCGTCAGCAGAACCTCAGCTATTGCTTTCTCAGCGTATTCATCAGACTATGCCTCCAAGTGCCTCACTTCCAGCCTCAAACCATTTGCTACCGCCAATTTATAGATACCCTTTACAGGGTCCTGGTTCTTCTATAGGTACTCACTTCCCCCGTCCAGTTTCAGGTCCACAGGTGTCTATGCCATTGGTTAATGTCCCAAATACGTCATCACAATTTTCCTCAGGAGCCTTGCCACCTTTTCCCAGAGGCCCACTTCCTATGCCTTCTAAATTCATGCCAGCATCCCAAAATCTAGGTCAGGTTACTCCTAACCCTCCAGCAGCAGGCTTTTCAAGCTTGATTAACTCACTCATGGCACAAGGTTTGATTTCATTGACAAATCAAGCTCCAGCACAGGTACTTGTTTTTTTTCCTATGTCAAGCTTTCTCTACTGTCAATTTTCTTGTGAAGATTTTTCTCAGCCATGTGATACAATTTGTAGGATCCTGTGGGCCTTGATTTTAATCCGGATCTTCTTAAGGTTCGTCACGATTCTGCAGTAACTGCTTTATATACTGATCTTCCAAGACAGTGCACAACTTGTGGCCTACGATTTAAATGCCAAGAGGCTCACAGCAGTCATATGGATTGGCATGTAACCAAGAATCGAGTATCAAAAAATCGCAAGCAGAAATCTTCTCGTAAGTGGTTTGTAAGCGTCAACATGTGGCTTAGTGGTACAGAGGCTTTGGGATCTGATGCAGTTCCTGGATTTCTACCGACTGAGCAAGTTGTCGAAACGAAGGATGATGAAGAATTGGCCGTCCCTGCTGACGATGAGCAGAATGCTTGTGCACTGTGTGGAGAGCCTTTTGATGATTTTTACAGCGATGAGACTGAAGAATGGATGTATAGGGGGGCTGTCTACATGAATGCACCAAGTGGGTCAACTGTTGGAATGGAAAGGTCTCAGTTGGGTCCAATTATTCATGCAAAATGCAGATCTGAATCTAGTGCAACTCCACATGAGGACTCCAGAAAAGTGGATGAGGTCGGCCCTCTCTTTTCCTTTTTCTTAGGTTAGATTATTTGATTGCATTTTAAATATTATTGTGTTAGTTATTACTGAATATCATAACCTGATGGTGATGCACATGATGCCAAATGCCAATATGGACCCATGACTGGGGTATCATTCTCTTAGTGGTGAAACACCTAACATGGAATTTAATCAGTAGTGCCTCTATTTTTCCCTGTAGTCGTATTCCTAGCAACTTTTGGGTGGTTGAGGACATGAGGTTGGTCATAGCTCAATGCTTGAATCTCTATAGTTTGTTCTTGAAGTTGTTCGGTACTTGGGGTTCGTTTGGTGGGGTGTATAAGAAAAGTGTTGGATAGGGTGTAGTTGTGCTGAATTTATTTCTTATGCATTGTTTGATTTGGTGTATTAAAAATAACATGCATTGCATATTTCTAAAAAAAGTCATTTGTATTCAAAAATAGCCTCCACAAATAGTGGAAAGAATGTGGAAAAGGTTTTGAGGGAAATTGTGTCTTTACCCATGCTAATGCATTCATTAACCCCCCCCCCCCCCCCCCCCCTGTGTTTTTCATGCATGCATACTTTTTCTAATGCATGCTCTATTCTTGCATTAGTTATTATACATAGGTTGAAAAAGTGTACCAAACAAGGTATTAGTAATACGTAGAGCGAATGCATGCATTATTTTTTAGTGCGTCCTACCAAACGACCCCTTAATGACATAGTGCATACTTTTCTGAATATAATAATTCAAAAAGCAAGTTTACCTGCGAATTTGAGTGCCTGATTGTGTATAATTAGGTGCAAGTTGAGGAGACACAAGAATTGCCACTCCTTAGAGTCTCTAGTGTCTAGTGATTATCATAAATTGCTGTCTGTTTGTAATCTCAAAACTGTTAAAAGTTCGAGACTTTTTGTACTATTTACTTTTCCCAGATGCAGGGAATGTGCTTGTCGATCCAGGGTTACTGTTTATGGTTTCTAATTTGTTTTTTATGTTTGGAATTTGTCTATTCTGTAGGGTCAGGAAGATGGAAGTCAAAGGAAACGAATGCGAAGTTAGCTTCATTAAATCAGCTTCTAGGTGCATTGTAACTTTATCTTGAGATTTCTCCATGATAGCATTGAGCTTTAGATTATTTCTAGGTACCATGCCAGAATCATGTACATGTACAGGAGTTGTAACATCAAAGCTTCTTGTCAGAAAAAGGTTTCATACAGTCTTGGGAGCATTTTTATCCTGACTTTCTCTATTTTCGTTTCCATTTCGGATCTTCTTTCATCTGTTTTCTTTTCCTGTTCACTTTTTGAGTGGCACGACCAGCCAGGTGCTTTTCGTATCCTTCGAGTGTGAAAACATTTGTGGGTTTAATCCATTTTTTTCTCCTTTCACATAGAGGTTTCTGCAGGAGGATATGCAGGGAATGCTTCGATGATCTTCTTCAAGCTCGTGCTCTGTCAGGACAGAATAAATCTACCGTAGGTGCAATTAGGATATCCTTCTAGTCTTATCAGATGTATAAAATATGAAAATTTTCCGTCTAAATTTACTAGGCGTATACATTTCGATGTTCGAGCTGTTTCGATATGATATCTAGTGCTTCTCTGTGTTGAATTACTCATCTGCTTCAATGAAACATGTTGGCATTTGTTATGTGCTTGAGACAGAGAAGTCTAATACTAGTAGTTCTTTTTAAACAGTTAATACTATTCGTCTGTCGGGGATCTTTATGCAAATATCTGGTCGGATTTACTGTTTACTTTTCTTCTTCAGTATCGATAGATTATGCATTAATCATATATATACATTTGCTGTCTGTTTTATGTTTATGCAGTTGAGTGGGCAGCTATTCGGATTAATTCTTCTGTATAGAGGAAAAAAGCCAATTTACAACTGTAGTATGCAGTCCAGAGTCTGTGTTGGAGTTCCGACTCTAAATTTGAATCACGTACTGCAGGGTCTATCTGGGAGTGACGCTTCCAATAAAGTTTTCTCCATATCCAAAGTTCGAACTTAAGACTTGTGGTTAAGGGTAGAGCAGTTCTATCACCGCACCTTGGTAGTCTCTTTTTTATCTTCTCATGTCAATTTTATTTCCATTTATATAGTATTAAACACGTTCACATGGTCAAAAAGGAAAATATGTCTTGTTTTTGAGTTACCTCTTTCGTCTCAAATTATTTGTTTGTGATCTTTTTTACATGCCGCTTAATAAACATTAATTAAAAGTGTTTAAACCTATTTTATCCTTCATTAGTATTTGAACACACAACAATCATAATATCACGGTAATTAAAGTGTTTGTAGTCTTTAAAAATAATTACCTGTAAAGATAAAAATGGGATGAACTTAATTCTAAAACAAAAATAATTTAACACAACTATGTTTATAAATCACGGAGACGGAAGGAGAACAAATTAGACAATTATTGTTGGACCCACTTTAAGAGCAAACTTAATGGCTTGGATCATTTTTCTTGGCTCCTCTTTATTTAAAGACGAAATGACTTGAGAAATCATTATATTTGTTTCCGTTTGTCATTTCGGTCCTTATACTTTGTGGAGTTTCATTCAGACACTAATATTTGATTCAAAGCAAGATTCTCAAAGTCTTTGACTTTTCAAGATTTGTTTATTAGAATGAAGATTTTCTTTGAGTATGTTATGAGCAATTTAACTAAGAATATTATGTTGTCGCCAGACATGTTTGCCTCCGTTTGCTCTATCTGTAAATTTTGAATGATAGAAATCAAAAATACGGAAAGGAGCAAAGGGAAATTGAAAGGACAGAGTATTTCTACGTTAAATTTCCTAACTCTTGTAAAATGACTTCTAAATATCTAAAATATGTGTAAAATATGGTGTTTCCCAACTCATTACGGAGGTCCTCATAAAGTCTTTTGAGAAAAAAAAATTTGGGTGCTTCGAGCGCCAGATTCATAGGCTAATACACACGAAAAATTGGGAATTTGGGCAATTCTTAAAAAAAGGCTTGTAAATGCGGAAATGGATGTTAAAAAAATGGTGTGAGTATACGTGAAAGTTCCCCAACTCATTACGTAGGTCCTCCGGGCGCCAGATCCATGGGCTAATACGCACGTCGAGGAATTTGGGTGATTTTTAAAATTGGGATTGTAAATGCAGAAATGGGCGTTAAAAAAATGGTGTGAGTATACGTGAAAAATCTCCAACTCATTAGTAGGTCCTCATAAAGTTTTTTGAGAAAAAAAGTTTAGGTCCTCCGGACGCCAGATCCATGGGTTAATACACACTTCAAGAAACTTGAGCGGTTTTTAAAAATGGGCTTGTAAATGCAGAAATGGGCGTTAAAAGAATGGTGTGAGTATACATGAAGGTTCCCTAACTCATTACGGAAATCCTTATAAATTTTTTTGAGAAAATTTTTTTGGATCCTCCGGGCATCAGATCCATGGGCTAATACACATGTAAAATCGGGCATTCTGGGCGATTCTCAAAAAACAGTTTGTAAATGTGGAAACGGGCGTTAAAAAATGGTGTGAGTATACCTGAAAGTTTCCCAAGTCATTACAGAGGTTCTCATAAAGTTTTTTGAGAAAAAATTTTTGGGTGCTCCCGACGACAGATCCATGGGCTAATACACACGAAAAATTGAGGAATTCAGGCAATTCTTAAAAAGGAGCTTGTAAATGCGGAAATGGACATTAAAAATGGTGCGAGTATACGTCAAGGTTCCCAACTCATTACAGAGGTCCTCATAATATTTTTAAAGAAAAAAAATTTGGGTGCTCCGGGCGCCAGATGCATAGGCTAATACAAACGAAAAATTGGGGAATTTGGACGATTCATAAAAAAGGGAATGTAAATACGGAAATGGCCGTTAAAAAAATGGTGTGAGTATACGTGAAGGTTCCCAAACTAATTACGGAGGTCCTCATAAATTTTTTTGAAAAAAAAAATTAAGGGTGCTCCGGGAACCAGATCCATGGGCTATACCCGAAAAATCGGGAAACTTGGACGATTCTTAAAAAAGGGCATGTAAATGCGGAAATGGGCGTAAAAAAAATGGTATGAGTATATCTGAAGGTTCCCCAACTCATTACAAAGGTCCTCATAATGTTTTTTGAGAAAAAAAATTTGGGTGCTCCGGGCGCTAGATCCATGGGCTAATACACACACAAAAATAGGGAAATTTGGGCGATTCTTAAAAAAAGGCTTGTAAATGCGGAAATGAACATTAAAAAATGGTGTGAGTATACTTGAAAGGTTCCCCAACTCATTACAGAGGTCCTAATAAAGTTTTTGAGAAAAAAATTTAGGTGCTCCGGGCGCCAGATCCATGGGCATTAACACAAGAAAAAATTGGGGAATTTCGGTGATTCTTAAAAAAACGCTTGTAAATGTAGAAATGGACGTAAAAAAAATGGTGTGAGTATATGTGAAGGTTCCCCAACTCATTACGGAGGTCTTCATAAAACTTTATGAGAAAAAAGTTTAGGTACTCCGGGAGCCAGATCCATGGGCTAATACACACGAAAAATCGGGAAATTTGGTTGTTTCTTAAAAAAAGGCTTGTAAATGCGAAAATGAAGGTTAAAAAAATGGTGAGGGTATACGTGAAGGTTTCCCAACTCATTACGGAGGTCAGTTTTAGAATATTTTTCTTTTGGTGTTCCGGGCGCCAGATCCATGGGCGAATACAGACGAAAAATCGAGAAATTTGAACGAATCTTAAAAAAGGGCTTCTAAATGCGTAAATGGGCGTTAAAAAATGGTGTGAGCTAAGTGAAGGTTCCCCAACTCATTACGGAGGTTCTCAAAATATTTTTAGGGTAAATTTTTTTGGGTGCTCCAAGAGCAAGATCTATGGGATAATACAAACGAAAAATCGAGAAATTTGGGCGATTCTTAAATAAGAACTTGTAAATACATAAATGAGAGTTAAAAAAAAGGTGTTCGTATACGTGAAGGTTCCCCAATTCACTAAGGTGGTCCTCATAAAGTTTTTTTAGAAAAAAATTTAGGGTGCTCAGGGAGTCAGATCCATAGGCTAATACATACGAAAAATCGGGGAATTTGGGTGGTTCTTAAAAAAAGGCTTCTAAATGCAGAAAGGGGCATAAAATAATGGTGTGAGTATACGTGAAGGTTCCCCAACTCATTACGGAGGTCCTCATAATGTGTTTAGAGAAAAAAAAATTGGGTGCTCCAGCACCAGATTCAAGGGCTAATACAAACGAAAAATTGAGAAATTTTGATCATTCTTAAAAAAGGGCTTGCAAATACGAAAATGAACGTTAAAAATTGTGTGAGTATACATGAAGGTTCCCCAACTCATTATGGAGGTCCTCATAATGTTTTTTTAGAAAACAATTTAGGGTGCTACAGGAGTCATATCCATGGGATAATACACATGAAAAGTTGAGAAATTTGGGCGATTCTTAAAAATGGGCTTGTAAATGCGGAAATGAGCTTTAAAAAAATGGTGTGAGTATATTTGAAAATTCTCAAACTCATTACGGAGGTTCTAATAATTTTTTTGAGAAAAAAATTTGAATGCTCTGGGTGCGAGATCTATGAGCATTAACACACGAAAAATCAGAGAATTTGGGTGATTCTAAAAAGGGGTTTGTAAATGTGGAAATAGACATAAAAAAATTGTGTGAGTATATGTGAAGGTATCCCAACTTATTAAGGAGGTCGTCATAAGATTTTTGAGAAATTTTTTTTAGATTATGTGGGCGCCAGATCCATGGGCTAATACACAAGAAAAATTGGAAAATTTGGGCGATTCCAAAAAAATGGCTTGTAAAAGCGAAAATGAAGGTTAAAAAAATGGTGTGAGTATACGTGAATGTTTCCCACCTCTTTAAGGAGGTCCTCATAAAGTTTTAGAAGAAATTTTTTTTGGGTGCACAGGGCTCCAAATCCATGGGCTAATACACATGAAAAATTGGAGAATTCGGGATCTTAAAAAAGGGATTCTAAATGCGGAAATGAGCGTTAAAAAATCGTGTGAGTTTAGTTAAAGGTTCCCCAACTCATTACGGAGGTCCTCATAATGTTTTTAGAGAAAAAAAAATTGGGCGATTCTTAATTAAAGGCCTGTAAATACGAAAATGAGCGTTAAAACAATTGTAACGACCCAAAAAAAAAACGAACTAGTGAAACTAGAGCCTCACATGTGAGTTTGGAGTTGAGAACTTGATGAAATGATGAGAAATGACAGTGACGTCCGGAAACTA